AAGCAATTTATTATTATTATTATTATTATTATTATTATTATTATTATTATTATTATTATTATTTTTAATATTATTATTATTCCCTTGACCTAGGCAGTCAGGTCCTGTCTTAGAGGATACTGAGCGACTGTATTGTACTCATGCTTCACTTCATTGATTGAACAGAGATATGTTCAAATCTTCATAGCCAGTGTAGCTGGAAGGGAAGTCATTTTCTGCTCCATCCTTTGTACTCAAGGGCTAATAAACATCAAGTGGCTTTGCAGGATGAAGCCAAATCGAATATGTATAGATTTGAGTTGTCACATGATCTCATTCATAAATTTCCTATGAAACATCAATGTATGTTGATTCTTACGTTATTTTTCATTAAAAATGTCAAGGTGTGTCCATGACTGCTACCAGTAATGTGTGCCTTGCTAACAAAATACTATAAATTAGGTCGTTTCATAAGCAGTGTTGCCATAATTGCTGTCATATTCATTGTGTTATAATAATCCTGATCATTGTATTATAATACAAGATTAATATAGGTCACATCAGATTGTAATGATATTTGCAAATCATTCATGTACTTGGGAAAAATAAACATCTGCCACCAATATTAGGGTTTAATAAGTGCAGTTACATTTATTCTATTTAGTTCTGTAAATAAAAGCGCAGCATTCCCTATATTCTTCTCTTGAATATCAGCATGTTCAAATAGAAAATAATATTTTTACTAAACATGGTTTTCTTACATTTACATTGCTTTAGTTTCAGCTCAATTCTAAGTGTTCATTATTAATTTCTGCTGTAAAAACAGAAAATCATCTTCTCTGTGGGGAAAAGCTAGAAACTGCATGTATCATTAATTGTCCTAAATAATTGGAGCTAATGGATCAAATATAGTCAAAGCTGAATTGTACATTTGATGGGGTACCACAGATAATTAATTTTGTAATACTGAATTAATTTTCCTGATGCTTCCATAGCTGCTTTGTACTTTACATGTACTTTGACGGGGCTACCAAATAAACTATTTTAATATTATAAAATTTTAAGAACAGATGGAACAGAAATGCTTTGTTAAGCTGTTCTGTGAGAAAGTGCAATAAAGTTAATCTTCATGAAATTCTGTCAGCTAACAGTTGTCTTTACAGGGCCCAGATAATCACAGGAGATTATTAGCGTTGTCAGCAATGGGTGATTTTATTGTGCTTTTTGAACTTCTTGAGTTGGACACAAAATGTTACTGGCACTGTTTTCCAGTTTATAGTACATCTGCTTTGAAGTAGCCATTATTTCAAAATATTGTTCATTTTTTCCAGATGGCAGTGCAGACCCAAGAACAACTCCATTTTTAGAAATTGCTGATCAGAAGGGAAATCCTATTCAGATTCCACACGAAAAGAGGAAGGTAATTACACAAGAATAGGAGGAATCCCAGTGTTTTTCATGTAATATTATAGGCTTATTTCTTAAAATGATCTTTTATAGGCACTTATCTTGGCCATGGGACTTCATGAGAAAGGAAGAGCTTTGATGAAGAAGAAGAACTACGAGCCAGCTTTGAGCCATTTACTGCAAGCTGATGAAGAATTTAAGTAAGCAAGAAACCTTTAAAAGCTTATGCTGTGAGCAAAATCTGACGCAGTCAGGTTGAGTTTGAGTTACTATGGGCCTTTTCCCCCAAACATTTTATACCCAAACCTGATGGAAATTTAGTGTAACAGGGATTGATTAGGGTAAGGTGGTGCAATGTTTTTAATGTGAAACATGCTTTTTTAGTTTTAAAATTAAGTTGACCTTTTGTTCTCCCACATTTTCAAGAAGACATAGATAATGTCAACGTAAACATTATCTAAAGTGTTTTGTATCCTCAGTTTGCACATTGTCTACATTAAATTACGTCTGATAAGATTTTCCTATCTCAAATTCTATTTAAATCTTTTTTTATTTTTTCTTTGCTGCTTCTGTAGTGTTTGCTAAACGTCCTGTTTTGGTACCTTTTGCAAACAATACTCCAAGAATTACATTACTCTAGGTGGAGCATTCACTCATTATCTTGTACTGTTTTTTATCAATTAAGCAATTCCAGTTACCTGTACCATTACATTGTAAGACTGCTGTATTATATATAGCTACTAATTTGAGGCCCTTAACCCCAACTGCTCCAGGGGCCCCGTACAATGGCAGACCCTGCGCTCTGACCCCAGGCTCTTTCCGTGTCTGTGTGTCTCATGGAGAGCAAGCTGGGGTATGCAAAAAGATAATTCTTAATGCAAGAAATTGTAATGGGTTACAATTGGTGGTGGTTACAAAGTGGTGATATTATTATTATTATTATTATTATTATTATTATTAATTATCACCTATGTATTATGCTAGTCCCAGCCCTTTAGCCGTCCAAATGCTGTTAAAATAATTAAGCAATAATTGATTGCAGCTTTACATTTATAAAGTATAATCTTAGAAATGTCACTGGGTAGCTAGGTTAGGTCCTTTTTTCAGGTCATAAAAGCCCATGAGGGAATTGGGGTCAAGGGCCACCATTTTCCTTGACCATCCGACAAATGGAGGTGGAGGTGGAGGTGATGTGGTCAGCATCATGCTCCGGCAGGCCTATTACCCTGGAAGGATTAACCCCCCCAGTACTCATTTGGAAAACGGGATGACAGGACCTGGCAGCCGTCTGGAAGGAATTAGAGCAAGCTCCATCGCTTGCCCATACCTGGGGTTGAACCCAGGACCTTCTGGTCAGGAGCTAGACACCCTTGCCGTCTGAGCTACCACGGCTCCAAAGTCACTGGGTAGAGGAATTAATTTGTTACTATCCTTCCTGAATTGTTGAGTAAATTCCTTTTCCCACTTGTTTACCCTTCAGAAAATGTGGCTCCCAGTTGCTCAACACGGTTGACAACTATGCTGTTCTGCAGCTGGACATTGTCTGGTGTTACAATGAACTGAAGTGTATCACTTGCTTGAATGATGCAAAAGAGAGACTGCAACAGGCTGAAGCCTGTTTCCTCAGATGCTATGGGGAACAGCAGGAGAGGCTTTTGGAGATAAAGGTTTGCCTTTATTTTCTGTTATCATGACATGTATTGCTAAAACTCAGAAGACATGATCTTTTACAAAACCCCTCAACATGTCTGTCTAACCCAGGAGACTCCAGCGTTTGTTCTGGGGAGGCCCAGTTCATCCCACGTTATATGTCTTCCTAAATCATCTTTCTAAATAAGATGGGGAACACCTTGTGTTATGTGCTAGTAGAGACAAGAGTGTAGCATAATGGTTGGAGCTCAGGACTCTTAACTGAAAAGTTGTAGGAATAAATCTCATCTCATAAAACTGTGGCATAGTTTGCTTCAGTAAAATGTCCAGCAGTATAAGTGTAAGGTTTTCTTTGTCTGCTTAATTTGTTCAGTTAAGGAAACTGCTCAAATTGTTTACATTTTTTATAATTGAAAATTTAGTGATTACTTGTATAACCTGCTTGATAGGAACAGTCCAGGACTTGAGCTAAAGAACCCTGATTTTGAATATAAAGCCATTAAAAATCATATGCAGTTTTTTCTCTGGTTTTATTTTCATTATATTTGAGGAAAATATTTCACTGAAATGAAAGAGTTGCTCCATCTGAATTTTGATTATGGGTAAAAGGACATTAAATTATTTAGAAATTAGTATTGCATAATAATTGAGCAAGAGCTTAGATAATTCATTTATCTCTTTAATTTATGGTGAACTTTAAAACCTGAATGTGAAATAATTGTGCTCTGGGCTGTTTTGACAGCTGATTAAATCCTTACCTTCTCAAGAGAGCAGTGCATATACCCAACACTATGCACCACACATTATTATTTCTTTAGGAAATCAATTAAAAATATGACCTTTATAAACTTTAAATTTTCGTTACAAACAAAGATACCTGTGTTAGCAGACCAGAATTTGGATTTCAAAATGATAAACGTGCCCTTAGAGCTTACCATTACAATATTTTATCGCAGATGTCTTTATGAAAGCATGAACTTCACTCACACTGTACTATTACTCTGATGGTTTGCAATTCCTTATTTATAGGGCAGTACAGGAAAAGAACAAGTTCTTTTCCTGAGACTGTATCTACTTCAGGCATATGTGTCATTTTATGGAGGCAAAGAACATGCTGCCGTTGAGAAACTGAAGAAGGTAAGTCTCCGATTTAACCTGGCATATTTTTTAAAATAAACTTTTCGTTAATTTCTGTAACCACTGATATAATTTTGCAGTGAAGATGGAACATTCTATTCTCGAGTTCCCATATCCTCTGTTCTGCAGAACACATTTACTTCACTCTTTTCTATTTACTTACTGTTTTAGTCAAACATGTCAGAAATCCTACACTATTCTAAATGATATTTCAGTACAGTGGTCTATCTCAAACTCGTGGTAGCCAATCAGCAGGGATTAAGGGAGCTCACTTGAGGAATATGTTTGTCAAATAACTTACTTCCATACATTTGCTAGGCTTTCACTATGCTGTGTGTATTCACTTGTTTAATTTAAGTTAAATGTTTACTCTCTTTGAGATGTGCTCAGTACATTTGTTTCAAAGAAACTTTGTTAAAGCCCAGGTTCCATTCAGCTAAGCAAGAAAAAATAATTAACTGAATAAAAAAAAATTCAAAAGTGACTTCTACAGTGTGGTACATTCTTTGTGTGCAGTATATTCAAAATGAAAGCTGCAAAAGTAAAAAGTTATAAAGCCTCTAAATGAACCACAAAAACAGAACAAACAGGCCAAATAAGCACGGATCAAATAAATGAAAATGAGCATTCTGTAATGCACTCTGTCTATCCAACATCAGTCCTTTTTAAATTTTAAAGTAATAGAGCCAGAAGCAATATCCATTAACTACCTGCTATACAAGCAGGACATAGCACATATATCTCATTTGAGGAGACATTTTTAAGAGGATATGGTTGTTTTGTTGTGTCCTATGGAAAAAATATTAAATACCAACACCAGAACCCGTATTTGATCTGTCACCTACTAGGTTTGAGCTAAAAATCTGATTTCCTCTGTTTTTGATTTTAATGAATAACAGTACATGGAATAATACCTAAGGGGAAATAAAAAAATAGAGACCAGAAAAACTGTCATGTACCAAGGAGGTTAACAGCATTTCTAATTTCTACTTTTTAGTGTGGAATTAACTTCCACTTGTTCCTCATTTGTAAATGTATTTGGCTTTTTTTCCTGTAGGTGGAAGATTTGTACATGCAGCTGTATGTAGATCCCACTAAGATGACAGAATTGATGATGCTTGGGTACACAGAACAGGAGGCCCGTCTTTGCTTGAGGGCCTGTAACGGAAATGTCAATAATGCTGCGAACCTCATCATGCAAAGAAGAGAGGTTTGATTTAATCCTGGCTTTCGTCTAACTGGCATTCCTGTCTTAGGCTATTACCTCTCGATTGCTATATTGGTGAAAATGTTGTACAGTATATTCTTTTTCATTTGTTTGGGAAAATCTTTTTTAGCAATAATTGGCACAGAGGAAAACTTAATCTGTTTGCCTCACCAACATATTTTGTTGATCTTCTTGTGTATTTACTGAAAACTATCTGTGCTATGCTTATTGTATTCTTTATCTGAAATCTGTTCCAATTACAGATGCACACTATTTGAAACAGCATGTAATACTGACATACAGTTTTAGCATTACTGATCATTTAGTTTCTGATTATGGTAAGTTGAATGTTGATAATGCATATTGCTGTAATTATAACATGTTTGATTTTTCTATAAACAAATCTGTTTTCTCATTTCTGAGTTAATGAAACAATTTAGTGAAGCATTGTTTAGGGAAACGGCTAACATTACTGAGTTATTTACGGGGCATGTTGGCCTCTAGGTCTTCTATGTTCTGGCTGAAATTAAAATGAAAAAAACCTTTAAGTACATGTAGATTCTTTATTTTTTAAATGAAAATGTACTTTTTCAATATGGAGATAATTGCTCATGTTTGCATTGCTTATGTTGCGATTTCAAAGGACTGTTGAATGAAAAAAGTGTGAGAAGACATACATTGTTATGGCATGTAACATAAAATATACATTCCATATATTATTACATAAAGTATCCTTTATATGTAGGAAAAAGAAGAGTTAAAGAGGAAAGAGAGAGAGAAAAGGAGAAAAAGGTTGGAGGACATCGACACTCTGATGCAACTGGGATACCCAAGAAAAGTTGCAGCTGAGGCCCTTAGAAATGAAGGAGGGGATGTGGATCTGGCATTTCAGGTAATCAGAAGTCATGGTAGTTATTGCATGTCAGCAACACATGTTTATGTAAAAAAAAAAATTCACCTTCAAAATCATCACTCACATAAATAGCTCACTGTACAAGGATGTTGTCAAAGTATTGCATTCACAAATATTTAATCTTTTCCAGTCCCTTCTTGACAAACCTCATCTTCTTGAGCCGATCAACACAAATATAGTATCCAGTGAGTCTGATCCTGGTCATCAACAGAAGATTGATCAGGTAAGTAGTGTGTTCAGAATTATGTAAGCTTTAGTGGCTTCAGTATTGATGTCTCTATAACAGCTGTGAATTTGTTTGTCCAACAGCTTTTTGAAAGGTAACATAATGAAAAATTAAGTTAAAAGAATGGTAAAGAGGACAATCACACCGAACAGCCTTTCTTTCACTACCTTGTAACTTGATGATATGATGGTATGCCTGTTTCAGTAAGTGAAATGTAACTCTTACTTTTGTGATAAGAGGATAGAAAATCATGAAGTATTAATTGACAGTAGTCATTCAATTTGTAGGAAAGGCTTTATAGAGACAAAAAGAGTGGAAGAATAAAAAGTGCCAGAATGGTTAAGAATGAGCCATGGAAGATTGGATTGGGAATATTAAGAAAAACGTTTACATAGATTTTTACTAAAATTAATCACGGAATGAGTAAACCTCAAAAGTGTTGAAGGCCAAAATAAAACAATTTTTTTAAAATAAGATCCCACAGATGTATCACCCTGGTCTAAAATAGAAGCTGAAATTCATATTAAGATCATACTAAGAAACAACAGTGATTAATCTGTTTTTGTCTGTATTCCTAATTCAATTCCACTCATGATTTTCACTCCTGTTCCCAAGTGACTCAACGAGTTGTATTGGCCCTTAATTTAGCTTTACCTGCACCTCAAACAGTGAATGGCTTGATGAATAGGTGGGACAACGAGGTCTACCTTCTGCGTTATCCCCTTGTCAGTACAGTTGTTGTAAAACCGGAAAATAGCAATTCCAAATTTTGGTCAGTATTTGAGATTTTAGAATACAAAAACTGTGGAAGTAGTTTTTTTATAAAAATTGTTTTCAAAGGACTCTCATGGATGAATATAAGCTGTACTAACTCTGGGAAAGGAATGCTTTAATGCTTTTATTTTTTTTCCCCACTTAAAACGTCATAAAAAGGCCTGATTGGTATGATTTTGTCAGGCACACACTGACACACACATATATATATATAACCACACACACTGGGACCAATTTTCCCAGAAACCAATTAATTGCCTTTGGACCCTGGGAGGGAACCAGAGCACCTGGTGGAAACGCATATAAACATGGGGAGGGAACATTCAAACTCCACGCAGAAAGCAAGCACTCCAGGTCCAGAACTGAACCCAGGGACCCAGTGCTACGAGGCAGCAATGCCACCCACAATACTGCTCATACAGTACAGTACTGCACAATAAGTTTGTTTTTAATCAAACTTCTAACATTTTATCTGATATATTTCACAGCTGACATTTCTAGGCTTTGACTATCAAGCAGCAGAGGCAGCGTTGAGACAGACAGGTGGCGCTGTTGATGTAGCCTCTCAGTTGCTGGCTCGCAATCAAGGGAACCTTCCACCAGAGATTCCGTCTCCATCTTCTCCATCTCCATCTTCTCATTCTCCCCCATCAGAAGAGCCCAGAACGTTGGAGGAAGCAGGTATGCTTACTCTGAAGCCAGCACTGTTGCTGTAGTGCTTCTCTTCCTCTGTGGGGTGCTGTTTTCTTGTCTTCAGTTCAATAAAAGTTTTTTTTTCATATATTCAAGGTAGGTTCTAGCAAATGTCCATGCTGATTGTTTTAGAACTTGAAAGCTTTTAGAACTTTAAAAGATCTTGAATAAACTTGCTTCAAGATAAGAAAATATGTAAGTAGGGCAATTTTATTTATTTTTTAAAATGTTTTTTAAACAAAAATTGGTATACTTTAAAGAGGCTAATTAATATAAAAATCAAAATTCCTTCATAAACACTAAAAAATTGATTCAAATAGTTTAGATTTGTTATGTTTAGATTTTCTGAAAGAAAATGGTCACATTCCTTATAAAAGGAATTGCAGGTAATAGACATTCTAGCAAATGTGTGGATTTGTATTATGAACTGGTTAATAAATGAAGCACAGATAGGGGGTGAATAATTTAGGTGATGTCCTGCAGCAATGTGTTTTAGCTCCATTCTTATTAGATCTTAAACTAAGGTGTAAGATTTGCAAACACTACAGAAGCTAAAAAATTAAAAAAGGTTTAGGTTTAATGCAAGACTGAATAAACATCTGGCAGATATTTCATGTAGGTATGTGCAGTATGCTACATGCAAGTGGCAAAAATACTATATGGGTATGTTGAGAAGGAAGAAGCTGTTATCATAATAGATCATTTTCATTAGACAATATGGGAAGCAATAAAAAAAACAGATATTGTTAGGATATGTTGCTGGCACAGACACCAATCAAGGGATTAAGTTGTTGTATCTTTGTAAATATCAGAGTATTACATTCGGTTTTGGTGAAAATGTTACAAAAATGATATTGCTACTTTGGAAAAATAAGACTTGTGAAGACTTCACTTCACATGTTAAACTCTACTATCAGGGAGGGTATTAAAAACAGAACAGGAGGCATTTTTTATATATTAAGGTTTGTGACACTCTGAAATAAGTGTGTTATTCATGTTGTTGAAACCAATACCCTGGCTTCTTTCAAGAGTAAAAAATAACCAAATGTGCTAGATGGGCTCTGGCCTTAGTGTGTGTGTAACCTTTCTTTTGTAATATTGCTAAACCTCATAACAAAGGGATGTTGTTTGATTTAGGCCTGACTGTTACCTACCCTGCGTCTTTCTTTTGCCCGTAACTTGTATGAGGAAGAATTTTTTTTTAAATCAATGGAAAACGGAAAGAAAAACGGTCTTTTCTTTTCAGACCAGATGGAAGTTGACCTGGTGAATGAGGCCCTCGAGGATATTCCCAAACATGAGGAGGATTACCTGGATCTCACACTGGAAGAAGAATGCAAAGTCATTGCATTGCTGAAACAACACCTGTCCTCCTGTCCGCCTTAAATGCTTCCTTTGTGGAGAATTCTTTTGATTACACAAAGGTTCAAGAAGCAGACGTTGTCTGAACTAAAGGTTATGCACTTTCTTTGTTGCCGCCAAATTGATTTTATTCCTATAAATTTGATGGTAGAATTTTTTTCTGTTTAATACTGGGTGAAAATCCCGTAAGGAACTGTAGAATATTGAGTGACAGTATTTAATTACTTTTCAATATGCAGGAAGAAATGGTCATAGCTTATTCTTTTTCTGAGCAATAAAGATATATATTTATAACAAGACTTATTTTTAACAATTTCAGACCACACTGTAGTCGGATAGAAATCTGTCCTGTATACTTGTACAGACCACTGGAAGGCAATTTACAAAATCCATAAATGCATTTAGAGTTTTAGTTTTGTTAATATTTTTGGATAAAAAACAGACTCTTTTGACAATGTTTCAGGTAAAGGTTCTTTAAAATACTTGTTTTAATATGACGCAAAGTAATGAGGTAGACATTGAATTTTTTCAAACCCTAGACTGTATGTGATTTCCTTTTTCTGATGTCTGCTAAAACAGTAGCTCATCCTTGATGCCGCAGGTCTAAAAACTGTTGGGGAAGTTACATATGGTGAAGTATTCACTTAAAAAAAATAAATGCTGAAATTGTAAATGTTTGTTTTTATGTCTTTTTGTTTACATGTTTAAAATCACAAAGTCTTTCACACTTATAGCTGACATTTCATTGTATGCTGTAATTTTGTTTTTATATACTGTACTAACTGTGGTTCAGGCTGTGTACTGTACATCAGAGTTACTGATAGTTTGCATCATTGTATTTAAGGGCTCTCTTTAAGCTTCTACACTAAACGAGTCATAAAAATATACAGAAAGGAATACATTCTATTCTCTGATTATACATCAGCTTGTAATATGGGAAAAAAAGACATTGGAATTTATAATACATGTTTGAAATTTGCAACATTGAAATGCAACTGATGTTCTGGATATTTTCATAACCCTGTGAAATTCACTAGCCTTGATGTATACAAAAGGGGAAAACAGTTACTTCCACAAGCATTAAGACTGTCCTGGAAAATTCACGTACCCACTTGCCTTTCAAAATGAATTTTAGGTTTTAATTTTTTTGTACGTTAAACCATCTTAGAAGTTGATTGTGCTATGCAGTCTGCAGGGCCAATTATGTTTTGTTAGACACAGGGGTATGTGGATTTTTGGCAAAAAACGAAGCATCGATGCTTCAAGCCAGTGCTGACCCTTTCAACTTGATATTTGTTCCATTTGGAGACAAATGCCTGAAAAGAAAGAAAATTCTGTTAATCTCTTAAAGTTAGATTATTTGTTTTTAATGATAATATCAAGTATATTTTCTCATCATTAAGCATATTTGCAGATATATTAACTTTAAGTCTGAAATACAGTACATGGAAATTAGCTTGAAAGTCCTTGGGTGTCGAAAAGGGGGTATTCTGACACTGAAAATGAAAACACTTTTTTCTGTGCTTTGGTGTCCTCATATTACCTTTCACCCACTTGTACAAATTACCAGCAGAGGTTTGAGAGGAATTCCATCAATGCAGCTGTTTTGGTTAAGGGCCTCCTAGAAATAAATGTTCCACATTATTCCAGTGCCCCTGAGACCACTGTGATTCATTCATAGTCAGCATATTACTTTTCCAAACTGCAACAATGCCTCCATTTAATTGCCTGTCTCTACAGTACATCTCCTTTTTCATAAAGGCTGTGTTAAAATGCCACACATTCACTACAGCAACTTAAAAATATATGTAATAAAATGTAGATTAAGAACATTAATTCTCAGAAATTTGAAATGGTGCTGTCTGTTTACAGAGTGGTTTTAATTTTCTCTATTTTCATTTTTTGTTCCTTCTGGACTCCCTGTCACCTACTTAAACTACAATTTTTTTATTAGAAATTATTTCCAAATTTTAAAACGCTGACTACTCCAAGGCACTTCTAAAATGCACAGTAGGTGATTTTCGGCCTGTATTTTCCATGTCCCTGCTGTGACATAAAATCGCTAGCCATTCTTAATCACACATACCCCCACTGTGTAACAGTCTACAATCTCATTAGGAATTTTCACAATACAACACTGTTGAACTTTTTTCTTTCTGAATGCACTTGAGCAGAAGTCTCTTGAGATAATATAATACACTTTGATTCCATTACAAAGCATCATTCCCTCTGGAAATAAAAGAGTCAACTCCTGCCTGGTATGATGTCCCCTTAAACATTTTGTAATAACTCTGGAAGTCTATACAGTATAAGCCTGGTTTATGGCTTAAATTAAAGCAACTTTTAAGATTATCAGCATGGCCACTTTACCAACTTGTGTTCATACTCCATTGCAGTAGCAACACTTATGCTGTGGCTATGTCCTAAAAAAAGGAAATTATTTTCTTTCGCATTTAGATGGCAACATTCATTGTTCTTGGGATGAGTCATTTGTTGAAAATTAAATTTTAATTCAGTTTTTGAGTTGTTTTAAAGGGAATGGTTTCCACTTGTACAAATTCCACTCGTTGATGTCTTTTCAGAATAAAATAAAAATCAACTAGTTTAGTCATGTGGAGCTGCCAGTGATTTATCAAGTCTTGGTTATATATTTGAGCGATGTAGTTAAATCACATAATGGAAGAATTTTCTTAGCTATTTAACAAATACACTATACAAAATGCTTATTGCATAGAATACATCTGTTTCACCTAGTAGCTTTTTTTCTCCAAGAAGAAGGGTCAACCTTTGAGAAACACTTTTTTTGTTTGCAGTGATGGTGTTCGTTTAAGTGCATAGGGGGCTGCCAGCATTAAAGAGCAGACATTTGTTAAAATAATGATAAAGGTTGGTCCAGATATAACAATCTCAGATTATTGCAAAATGAGAATGTGCTCTGTAATTCTTCCTCAATGCTTCTTCTGGAAGAGATCCTATACTTTTTCTGACACTGGCTAATTCCTGCCATCAGCACAGCGCATTCATTACTGCAGGGTGTGTAGCTTTAAGATGTTTAAGTGAGAGTAAGGGGAATTCTACAGGATTCTAAAACATCAATGCAATACTAGCTGAGTATCTGACCAGGGTTAAGAGACAGGAAGAAACAGACCCTGACAAAGTACAGGCTCAGACCACAGCCTGGCCACATAGAAATTGGATGACACAGGCAGACCTGGCTGTCCAGAGAGGACAAGCTGTGCTTCCACTGCCTGCAGGGAGAAGCCGAGATAGAGCTGCACTTTCTGCTGCACTGTGAGAAATACTGTAGAATTAGACGAACATTCTTCCCTAAAATAACAAAGTTAATCCTAGAATTCCCACACCTGCAACAAATTAGAACAACGTCCAATCCTGCTGGGGGAGGGGGGGAACTCAGTAGAGCTGGCAGCCCAGAATGGGATCTCCTATCACAGCCTGAGTAACAGACAGCATGTCTCACAATGTATGTAAATGTCCATGATATTCAATCAATATATTTTCTAACTGCTGCATACAAATCAGGGTCACAGGGTAGGACAGGAGCCTATCCCAGCAAGCAACAGGCACAAGTCAGGATACCAGCCCATCACAGGGCAGACACAAACACCAACACAGTACAGAGGAAACACAAACAGAGGGAGAACCCAGGGCCCTGGTACTGCTAACCACTGGGGCCTCCATGCCCCCCTGTCAATAATATAATTAAATATGTATCTTAATATGTTTTTGTTAAATGTCAATAATATGGTTTTAATGTAAATGTTGTACTATTGGTATTTGCTTTGGCAACACTAACTTGTCACACCAATAAACCGCATTAAATTTGAATTTGAAAGCTACTCCAGCTCCCCCTTAAGTATAATGTTGTATGTCCTACTCCATTCCCCTTTCTCCTTCTGTTCAGCTGAGCTAGGGCTGTAATGAGACAGCAGAAACGGGAAAATGTACTGCAATCAGTTTCATCTTCCACGTGTTATTAATAACATGGAATATGTCTAAAAAATGAAAACCATATTTAAACAATAAAAAGCACTGGAAGTAACTGTTATATGTACTGTAGCCATGATAAACAACTCACTGGACAGGACTATCAAACTGTTTTGGTCAACACTTAAAAACTTTACAGTAATTTCATATTTTCAATGTATTTCAAAATGCCATTTTGGATGAATACTTAAATGTTAACATTGTATTTGGCAGTTGGGAAATGACCATTCCAAACTGTTTACTTTTCTGTTTATTAAAATGATTGTTTCTTTGCCCCTGGATGTTTTGGTAAAACGTTGACTAACCTTTCAATAAGCCCGAACAGTGACTCATTTTTCAGAGAAACTCTCAGAAATGTTTCTTAGATAAACAATCTATATCACATTATGGGTATTGGCAGGGAAAAAAAAACATTTTCTATCTAGGCCTACCTCTAGCATTTATTGTTCTGCTGAATTAAAGAAGGAACAAAACATTATCTAGGAAGGAACAACTGTTTAGAAAAGTTGAGATTAAGATCTCAGCATTTTCAGTGGAATTGTCTACTTTTTTCAGTTTTTTTCAGCTTTTCATTAAATACATCTGCACAAAGCCATTTGCACGGAAATGATTAAGATCAGCCTTTTGACTGGCAATGACCTGCTGCACCTTAATTTAAAATTGCTCTTAGCAAATACCAATAATGACCGTGTATTATGCTTTTGCTTTTATCAATATCAGCTTCTTACAATAGTGACTGCAGGAAGTCATTTTAAACCATATCAAGAAGTACTGCGGCAGTGTTTTTTCCACAATGAGTTTTTTTTGTTCCAGAGTCTTCTTTCAATATTCCCCTTGTGTCAAACAGTGAGAAAAGGATGAAATTAGTAGTATTTATTCAGTAGTTTCCATATCATGAAGCACTCCAATCTTGGATACAAGGTGTATTGTAATAACAAAGTTCTCACTATAAATAATTTATAAATATGCAAACGTTTCTGTCCAAAAAACTACAATAACTAATGAAGAGACATCAGTACAACATGTCTACTTCATTCATCACTTCTACTCTGGTCATGCCAAGGTGGGCTATGTTTGGGGGTGCCCAGGCTTGACACCCAAAGACTCAAAATGGGGCACTTGCTTATCGGAAATGGACTGGGCTGAATACTCAGAAGAATCTAAAATTACAGAAGCAAGTAGGGTCCTGGAGAAAGGATCAGGTATGGACAGTATGTATACAGTATCATGGACCTTATGACAATATGTCACCACTGCTGTGCTCCACAAGTCACAATAACATAAATCAAGAAAATCCCATAACTTTTATAGAATTTATCGTGCTTCGTTTTTTCTTTTCTAGTTACAGTATATTCCACCTTTATGCATATGTTTTGAGTAATTCAAACATTATCTTACATTATTTACATTCACACATTATTTTATCACTTTCATTCATTTGAACTGTAAAGTGACAGAGATTTTTAGACTACAAAGTGCTGTGTTACATTTGTTTCATTTTTGATCCATCCACCTGTTTTTCTCCCCCAATTCAGAGTTGCGGGGTAGTTGGAGCCTATCCTAGCAAGAAATGGGCACAGGGCGGGATACAGACTAGACAGGACACCACAGGGCACACGCAGACACAAACACACTCACACCTGGGCCAACGGTCCAGTAACCAGTTAACCTAACAGCATGACATTGGATTATTAGAGGAAATCAGAGCACCTGGAAAAAAAACACAGGAACATAGGAAAAACATGCAGGCTCCACACAAATTGAACCCAATTCCTAACCCCTGTCTTTAGTTTTATGGCCCATATATTTATTTATAAACAGATTTTCTGAACCTCCTCATTGTACTACGATAACATTAACCTTTATAAGAAAAAATAATAAAATGTGATCAAATTAAAGTGCAGTGAACTGAACTAAGTACTTATATTTTATATTTATTTGGTTTTACTGAATTTTGTTTGTTTTAAAGATATGCATACATGAAAAATACTCAACCATTTATAGTTCAGATTGTGCAAACAATATTATTATTATGTTTTTTAAATATATATTATTAATATAAATTTTAAAAATACAATAATCGATCAAAATTTTGTTCACGTATTTTCATGTTCTGAAAATGTCAAGTTTAGCTTGCCATACCAACACAAAAATAAAGGCATGAGAGGTGTAAAAAACGAATTTTAAACTATGTTCATTTTGTTTTTTAAGAATGTACATTGTTTAAAATAGACGAGCCATTGTGCAAAATTGCAAAGTAGAAAAAAGAATGGAAATCAAATTACTGTTTATATCAAATAGTGTTTATTTTTATGACAATTATAGTAAGAATCTGGCAGTTACAATAATAAAAAATCTAAATAGTCCTTCAAAATAATTTATCTGTGAAAGTATTCATATCAGTTCAACAGCCTCTCGTTCGTAGCTTTCCCTCCTGACCTGAACACTCTGTGCACTCGGTGGTTGCTCTTCTTCCCAGACACACCCCACTCTATTCTTACAGAGTCTGGACAGGCTGCTTTTCCGTGAGTTCTTGCACTGTCTGTCTCTGTTAGACTTCTTACAGCACTTCTCCTGCTCAAAAAGACCCTGCACATCCCACACTCTCAAAGTGCCATCATGGGACACAGTATACAGTATATGGTTGTGAATCTGGGAGAAAAACAAAATTCAAATAAACAATGAAATGCAACATTCGGCCTGAAATAATGTATGTCACTACTGAATATCAGCCCATCTATAAAAGAGTAATGTGAGTAAACAGACTAGGTAATTTGGTGAAACATATGTCAGTAAGTACACTGGGACTGTTTCAGCTTGTCCACTTCCTGTGTTTCTCTCTGTGATGTGTACAATGGGTAAGTGTCTGTAACACGTTAACAAAATTTTCTCTTTTCTGTCAAGTCCTTATTCCCTTTCTGTTTGTTTCTGCTGTGAAAGCCATTGGAAAAGGAGTGACAGAGCTCCTTTCCTTTGTAACTCTGCTGAGAGGTGCGTGTCAGGGTAACCATTTTCTGCTTGAGATAACAAACTTTATATGTTTAACAAGGACTTGTGTCTTTGTGTCTTCTATAAACATACCAAAATTTGCTACGACTTACATCTCACTACTGCATAATATGGAATACTACCACAGCAACTTTCTGTAGGATTCTACAGAATACACTGGTATCATTTATACTTGTTCTACATTATATTTTAAAGGACACTGCAAAATTGTGCTGCTCCACTATTCTGTAGGTTACACCAGAACAATGCTGTTCCAATTTACTGTATGATTTTAAACAGTTTTCCATGAAAGATAACCATTCCAGATGTGGTATATTTCTAAGTAACCACAAGACTAGAATAAATTACAGTTTGCATTTGAAATAGCATGTTTTCCTCTTAACATGTTAACACCAAGTGAAAGCAGACAGGAGGGCTAGTGAAAGGGTTATATAATTTAACCTCTTTCATCTGATTTTTTTTTAAATATGGGATTGGATTTCCAGCTGTAAATACTTTTCTGTTACATGATTTAAATCTGAACCCTAACATCCTGAAAAAGGCATGCGTGTAAAATTCTAAGGCTCATACATTCCATTTAAACTATGCATACACTCTATAACAACAAAAATGTATATTTCAGTCTGAGACATTCACATAATCCTACTTTATTTTTTTCATATTTATACTATTTATCTATAGTCTGTTGTAATGGAAATTTAATCTAGTCCAATTTTAAAGCATGCACAATAGTGCTACTAGCACATTACTGAGTCCTGAAATAACACTTTTCTAAAATTATAGGCTGGCAAACTAGACTAAATAAAAAAACCTTTTGCAAGGCATAACAAGGATTTCCCATACTTAGATCTTAATTTTAAAATTTCAAGATATGAACCAAAGAATTAATAAATGCAGAGTCTGTGATATTAGAAATGCAATACAAGGCGCAAGGTGTTACATCAAAAACAAGATACTCAGTGGAAGGCGGACCGAAGCATTATAAAATAAGAGCAAAGAATGTGCTATGTGCAATGTTATGTTAATTTATGCCAATGTGTAATGTTTCTGTTCTTTTTCAACATGAAGAAATATTGTAGGCAAAAGTAACTCACCTGTAAGCAATTGATAACAAAGGTGTGTCCCCTGAATACTTTTTTTAAGACCCCAGATTTAGTATCAAAGGCTCTGGCACATGAGTCACCACTTCCTGTAAACACTGCAAAACAAAACAATGAGAGATGAAATTCAGTAAGACGACCTGGAGTAGTTTTCAATATACGGCAGTCACTCGAATCAGCCACTTTCATTTGAAAAGCTTTAGCAATTCGTCTAAAATACTGATTTCAAAAGTGCTGTAGATTAAAGACATTAAAGAAAAGGAAAACGATGGCACATTTTTTTGTGTATTTAATTTACTCTGAGGAAAAACAATCTTTTTCTTGCTGTCACAATTACAGGGTAAAAAACAAGGTAAGATACTACTGAATAAAGCGAAATTAGTGGTTTAGTAGCACCCACAAGCTTACAGTTATAATATCACAATACTAACCAGTGCACTATAGCCTATAATTTGGGAGTGTGACTGAGAGGTTGGTTCAACCTTTTATGTGGATAATTATTTCAATGCAAAATTTAATTGTGCTTCTAGGACACCCGAAGAAGGCTCCACAGCCAAAATGTTGTGTTTTCTTTCTTCTCTTATCAGCATGGAAAAAACCTATTACTTTTTCCAGCGCTTCTAGGAATTAACCTTACACATTAATTTAGTAATTCAGCTTCTGCTTCTCAGGGGCTGTCTACATCCAGCAGATGTGGAAATAACACATGCTGTGACATCTTTGAATTGGTTTGCCTTAGAAATTAAGATTCATTTAAAAAGAAATTGAAACTTTTTTTGCACTTTAACTGTGCTCTCAGCATGGGTCACCCTAATTTGACTGTGGCTTTCTAAAATGTGTTTTATTACACTGTGTTAAATTACACTGACCCATACAAATAATATGGTGTGCTACAGTAAACATATCTTTCACTATGGTAAATTAGGGTATTCCCATTGTCCAGTAAAGCACATTGAAAGAAAGCACATGTTAAATGCATTGGGCACCATAAAACATACATCCCAAAGTAGCCTTTCACAAGTAGTGAATATTTCCTGTTATATTCAAATCAACTTTAAAACTTTCTGTTAGACCGTGGATTGTGCATATCTATTTAATATGTTTTGTGCTTAATTATATTGTCTTCATAGTATTGCCAGGGATTTCCATAACAGACTACACTACAATATTCTGTATCAAATGTACATTATAATGCATTATAATGATGATAGTTCATTCAATAGTTTTAATTAAGCAACCCAATTATTCTGAAGTGGTACCTTTGTAAGATATGTTTATATCATACGTTCAAATTCTAACTCAGTGTCTCATCTGACAATTCCTATATCAGAGGTTATAACTGCCTGCTGGTTATGTACAGTATGAGTTAGAGGAGCAAAGAGGAGCCTGAGGGAAGGTTCACTTAAGATTTGAAAATAAAAGCATTAGCTCAACATGGACATACAACTTTATGTGGCCACATTAAAAACACTAATTTAACTTTCCCACCTTATTAAGCAAACGTATCCCACCTTGTATTAAGCAAAGGAGGTACTGTATTCTAATTATTATATAATAATTATTATATAAACTATTATATAAACCTAATGAATCATAAAATCAGTCACAAAAGCAAACAGATCTTATTAGATTAAGGTTAAGCCATCTAACTTCAGGAAATAAGACAGGAGCTGGGCCCAAAGGGGACTACTGTAATACATTTACATACTACAGTAACTGCACAGCAACCAAAAGCAAACAAGATTTCTTTTCCATTCTGCTGGCTTCCCAAAGACTAAAGCTGATAGCTATAACACAGAACCCCAACAAAGTAGGAGATAAGAATGATAAAATGAACACAGGATATAGTTTAACTGTGAAAATGCTGACAGAAGGTTGCTCACCCAAGAATATCTCAGTGCAGAATGCATATCCTTGTTCATTCATCACACACTTCACAGTTCCTCTCCATACTACAGTACATTGATTCCATCTGCTATAATGTTCATTTAGACCACTGACTCCAAACCTGCTTCTGGTGACCATCACGCTTGTTGGTTTTTGGGTCATCTCAGCACTTGGTTACCCTTTATTGACTTAATAAGAAGATTAACTTGAACTGTTTGTTTGCGGCTCTTCAAAATCTTGAAGCCCTAACTGTTGTATTTTCCAAGGGAAGCAGAACTACAAACTTGTGACTAGAAACAACTGCAAATATTCACTTGAAGTAACTTCTTAGATAAAGGCTTCAATTATCTAAGTGAGGTGGGAGGGAATTAAAACCAGCAGGTGTGTGGGGCACCAGGACCAGCATTGGGAATGACTGATTTAGACCAAACTCTATATACTATAATCTGGCAACATTAACTATTTTATTATTGTATTCAGGATACGCTGCATGTAAGATGACAAATTACTTGTACTGTAGTTACTTTTTTTGCCTACAGCACAATGTTGAATTTCAAGAACGTCCTAATGAAATGTTCTCTAAATATTATACAGTTACATCAAGTAAATACATATTTTATTTGAGCATCTCAGGGACTTCCATACTTCACAGATTAATGAAACAACTGTTCTTTGTTTCTTTGCTACTTATCTTTATTATTTGGATATTTCAATTCCTTTGGAAAAATAACTTCTTGCTTGCTTTAAAACAAAGAAAAAACAATTCATAACATGTACAAAAAGGAAGTGTGCTGGCAGCATTGTCTGATACAATTTCATAATTTTTGCTGATGCAATTTTTAACTTGGCCTCCAAATTAATTAAGAGAATGTTTTAGAACTGAAAAGTTATCATTTCAGATGTTGTTGTAATGCTTTTACAATGTTATGCAAGAACATAATTTAGTTGTTTCAGATGTTTAGATGCTTAAGAGATTTTAGTTATGTTAATGTTTTTAAACAAATACTTGAAAATGTTGTAAAGTTGCCCCTAGCAATATCAGAATTTTGCTAAATCCCAAGCTGACAATTAGATACTGCAATGTTGGACTGTGGCTCTGCCAATGCTGTGAAGAAATTTCAGAATTCAAAATCTGAGATTTGTCTAGCGTTGCCACAAAGTTATTACTGAAAAGTAAAAACAGATAACATACCTCCACCTGGCAAAAGACCAAGTTCCATTTTAAATAATATTAGAAGAAAAAGAAATGTTATTGGTACTAGAAGCACTTAAAACAAATACATCTCCAAGGCCATAAAGTATTCTACATATTTTACTTTAAAAGATGTTATTCATGGGCCATTGACAAAACTCTTCCAAAAATATTTTGAAACTGGGTTGATACCCACTGACTGGAAAATTGCTAACATAGTGACCAAGTGTTATACTGTATAAAAAGGGTGAACAAATTGAATAAAGGAATTATAGAACAGTAAGTTTTACATTGGTTAAGTGCAAGAAAACAATAATTATACTGTAACTAATTCTGAGGATCATCTGTAAGGAAATAAGATTTTATGGGACAGTCAATATGGTTTAACTCATATCAAGTTGCCAGTACTTGGATTACAGATTGATTAATGGATGGGAACCAGAGGGTACAGACAAGGGTTCGAATTGGATTCATGTAGTCAAATACCGCAGGTATATGTACTACAACAACCGCTCTATATATCCATAAAATGGATTCTGTGAGGTTTAGCAAGTGTAGAAGCTCCAAATGAAATTCAAGGGACTTGCATGAAAGTAGCAAAAACCTTAACTACAGATACAAAATCTTTGTAAATAAAACAAATATAGAACAATAATGACAAATATAAAATAGGATGGATGAAGTTGAAGAGGTTACTCATGAGAAACATGTACAGAAAGTGTTTACAATACACACTTTATCTTCTTTTTCCAGTCAATGTGGGGAAGAAATAAAAGGCACAAACAAAAAATTAAGATACTGTATAATGCATTCATAAATGAGAAAGAAATGTTATGTTACCTGAACAACCTCATTTAGAATATCGTAATGCTAATTGCTAATCTTGATCAGTTTGAAGGAGATCAACCAGATACAGTACATTCCTGGGCTCAACAATGTCCTACACTGACAGGCTGAAATACTGTACTTAAACCTTTTCAGTCTTGAATGGAAAAACTTACAAGAAGACTTGATTCAAGCATTCAAAATCCTTAAAAAAAAAACTGACAAAATCATCTTGGACTTCAGAATCAACAGTAAATCATGAGGCAGAAAACAAAAAAAATTATGTGGAAGTGTACTTAAACATAGAACAGGAGGGATATCTTTAGACAAAAAAACATTGCAGGAGTATGGAATAAACGTCACAGTGATGTTGTCGAAGCTAATACCCTGTCTTGCTCTAAGAAACATCTGGATTCGATTTTTGGATCAATTAGCAATTAAAAAACAACAATCGATCCAGATGGTTGAGTGACAACTCTTTTCTTTTGTAACCATGCTTTTATTTTTTGCGTGCTTCATGTAGTCCCAGAGCTCAGAGTAACTGGAAATGAAACTGATTGGTCATGACGTTGATGTGAGTTTCTCACGATTGTCAAAAACCTTTTTTAAATGAAAAGATACATCTAAAACTCAGTGAACTAGATTACCTCATGTCCAAGATTTAGAACTGTACAGGACAGGTCCAGTATTGTCAGATGCGATATCATTCCATAAAGTACTCTGTGGCAAACCATTGTGAAAGGTACTGTAGCAAATTAAAAAAAAAATTATTGAGACTGATCACAAAGCTTAGCCACCACACATAGTGTTTTCTCTAAATATGTAATAGAAATTGGAAAGAAATTTGTTATACATAACCAAGAAAAAGCTCTTTCCCAACATTGTTCCAAACACGTTGAGGCTGTTACATTAAAAAAACCTGTGCATTGAAAGCCAATCAAATGTGTGCTCATTTTTGCTTAATACGCCTAGCCTTATATATGTTGTGATACATCTGTACTAGAATAATGTAGACCAAAAGAAACAATCCAAAGAAAAATCAACCAAAAGATAAAGTAACCTAGAGGAATTACAGTCTAATGATTTTATAACCATGTAAGGTCTTGGTTACCACTAATCATGGCACACTAATAATCCCCATCTACGAACTGGCTGCTTTATTCTGCTCTCCTCACCACTGAGGCCCTAAACGTAACATGCAAAATCTTCTTAGAAATAGTTACAGAGTGTAAATGACATAATACTTGTAATGGAACACGTGTTTTACCAATAATGTTTTGATTTTTTTACTTCTCCTAAGGACAAATTCAAAACTACTATATATATAACTTATAACTTCACAGAGGGCCCAGCTAACGTCATGGGTATTATGGAAACAAAATGTGTCTCATTAGAACATGTCCTTATCCATGACATTTGACAGCTCTTAAAAGGTTGAATGAAAAACTGTGCTATAACTAAATATGGGCACTACTGAACACTGCTTACAGATATATTTACTGTATTTTATACTGGTAAAAATAATTCTTATTTACCTTTTATATATTTTACAAACTGTACATAAGAATGCAAAATGTATTTAAATTGCTTATTTTTTGTATATATGTATTTCATTTTAGTTTTGTTATTCTATCTTCCCCATTGTTGTTCCCCTGATTACATAAACAACATGCATTAAGAGCACTAACTATAAAGACAAAAATAATAAACAGTTTTTGTGTTTATAGCAGCCTCTGTCTCCAGCTGGAAGCTAGTACTGGAGTCTTCATTTGATGGTGGTTAGCAATGCCATATACAACATGTTTACAGTAGTTTGACTCCATTTATCTTAACCCCTTTTCTCTCCATTTTGTTATCTGAGAATCTAACAAATGTCACTTGAATATGATTATACTGTATGTGAATGTATGTGTTATTTTAGAATGTTACGGCAATGCTCCCCAGTGTCTATAAACTTGCAATAGTACAATACAATTCTGTTGTTGCTACAAAGGTTTGTGAGTAATATGACCTTGTAGTTGTATGAATGTCATTTCACCATGTTATTTAACAATGTTTGACAGCATTGCCTGGATTCAACAATTCAACAGTTTTGTGTGGCCATAACATCATATTATTCTGCTGTCATCAAAAACATTCAGCATTGGTGTTATGTTGTCATATTATTTGGTTAGCTAGGGCATAGGCTTGTATCAGATACAGTATACTCTGGATCTTATGACTTTATTAACTGGTTTTCTATAAAATAGCACATTTCCATTCTAAATAACTTTCAAGGTTTAATCTGATTTATTGAAAGTGTGTATCTAAAATGAGAGGTTAAGGAAGCAATGAAAACAAAGAAAATATCAACAGCAATAAAAAATCCCAAAAAATTACACATCTATGCCAACAATTTATAAACAACATCAAGAAAACTGGATTTATGCAATACTGAGAAAAAATACTTTAGCATAAATAAGGTAAATAATTTAACACTATATCTGTCACGGATGTTGGAAGGGACGGACCGTGGAATGGCAGGAGAGCGAAAAAAGACCCTATGCGTAGTGGTGGGACAGGGGTTAGCCCAGCCTCAGCTGTTCAGGAAATGCCGTATAGAAACCTATGCCCTCAGGCCATGGAGTGGGGCAACCTGGTGCTAGGTGGGTCTCAGGACATCCTAACCTCAATGCTGAGCTAGGAGGAAATGATCCAGAAATATAAAGCCCAAGACAAAGACACACCAGAAGGACAAGCGCTGTAGAGGGCGTGACAGTACTCCCACCTTCACGGGTGGCTCCTGATGCCCAACAAATAAATAAGCTGCACAGCACTGGGGGGAGGAAAAACCTAATTTAACTGAAAGAAAACCTCTTGGAGTCCACTGCTGAGAGCTGCCCCCTCCTCCAGGGTAGAAACCTTTATTGGGTAGAGGAAGGGGGAGCTGGGCAGAGCTCCAGCGAGTAAAACAAAGAACATGTACAAAACCACTTAAAACAAAAATAAACCTGGGAGACTAGGGTAACAAACCACTCAAAACAGATAGGAACCAAGAGTTCCATGACACAGGGGTCAGGGGGACCAGAGAGAAGAGGAAACCAGGAAGTGAAAAACCAAAACACCAAGAAAAAACCAAAGTAACAACACAAAACCCGGGAATAAAAATAGAAAAACACTGCAAACTGGGCAGAAAACACATTCAACATTCTATCACTGATATTGGAGCAGACAACCTGAGGAGAGCCAGGCACAAGGCCCGCTCACAGGCACAGATGTCAGGAGTGGCAATGAGAATAGAAGATCCAGCTCAACTTTCAATCACGGATGCCGGGAGTGACAACCCGAGGAAAGCCAGGTATTCGTACGTGGATTTTGGAACGGCATACCGCTGAATGACCTGCTTACAGGCACGGGTGTCGGGAGTAGCATAGAATAGAAGAACTGAAACAAAAAAGCCCAAAACACTGCGGAAAGACAAAGAGCGCCGCTCGAGGGGTCAGGAGATGGCTCAGCATTCTGTCAAGGATGTCGGAAGGGACAAACCGTGGCATGGCAGGAGAGCGAAAAATGACCCTATGCATAGCGGCAAGACGGGGGTTGTCCCAGGCTCAGCTGTTCAGGAAATGCCGTATAGAAACCTATGCCCTCAGGCCACGGACGATGGCTGACCTGGTGCTAGGCAGGTCTCAGGACATCCGAATCTCAATGCTGAGCGAGGAGGAAATGACCCGGAAATATATAGCCCCAGACAGAGACACAGCAGAAGGTCAAGCAAAGCACAGGCAACTAGGGACAGGGCAGAGCAGGAGCACCCTCTAGCTGTAGAGGGCGTGACAATATCTTAGATTAACATCATATCGTAGAATCATGAATAAGAAAGTGTCATTGCCACACTGACATTTTTTAGTTGTTTGGTAATAAAATAACAATAACTAAAACTTTCAGGAATAAAAATAAAAAACAATATTTTTCCATTTCTTCTGAGATTCACAACAGTTTTCAGTTGTGATTTTTGTGTAAACCATGACACACATGATTACTTACATATTCCATTGTGGTATTTCATTGTACTGACAGTATGCTTGTGTGCCTTGTATGTCCGAATACATTTCCCAGATTCCGATTTCCAGCACTTGACTGTTTGGTCCGCACTACCAGAGTATAAATGTCGATTCGCAAGCTGGAAAAGAAAGCATGTGAAGCTTTGAGTAAAATAAAGTCACTAGTACTTTATTTTGTCACAAGAGAAAAAATACATTGTGGATATTTACACATGTCAATTAAAGAATAACCAGTTTACAAAGCATTATGTTTTTAATATTCTTCTCCCCGGGATATGACAGACTCGACTTAACATAAATTTAAGTTTACGTAAAAACCTCCCGTGAAATCCATTATAAAATTTTGTAGGTAATTAAAAGTAATTTTGACTGCAAACACATGAAGCAATGCGTTTTGAAGAAGAAGCCTGTTTGTGACAACACTCTCTGCTCTATAACAACTTGTTGTGAGGGATGCGATATTCCATAATGGCCGACTACAATAATCACCAAAATCAATAATCACACAAAATTAAAGTGAGACCATGTTATAAATGTCAAGCGTACAACACTGATATGTAAAATATCAACAGCCAGTCAGGAACACATTTTATGTACTTTTTGTCTAAATATTTGTGCTAATCATGGACTCAGCTATAATTTTGTGTTTCAGTCTAATGACTGGGAAACAAAATACAACAATCTGAAATCCCAAAAATAAAAATAAAAAACCAGGAGAGCAGAGTTTTTACTTGTTTTTCCATTTACTGTATTTGTGCTTTCTCTATGTTTAGACATGGTGCTTCCTGGAAATGAAATGCAAATGTGTTGACATAAGACTATCTGTTATCCTCTAACACCCCCACATTCGGAAAAATACCGTAAAATAATATTTCTGTAACGCTTAGAAATCAGAATTATTTCCATTAAGAAGGTTTCTTTTTATTGTCTTTGTGTTTTATGACGTGTTGATGTATCACCCTTAGAAAGCTCTTTAATAAACCATAATTCAAAAAGTACATGAGATGCAGCAGTCTGTGTACACACTGCTGCATTTCAAGACGCAGCCAGTCTACTTTCACTATGATAGTTTATTTTATTTTAAACATTTGGAAAAGCAAAGAGGATTTGTGAATTAAAACAGGAAAGGAGTTTGGGCTGTGCGACAACTCGTTCAAATCTGGACACGGGGATGATTTATAATTGAAGGAAGAGAACCAAGGGGGCTTTGAATGTTGACCGCCTGTAAATCAAGCTAGGAAATCTTTGCATTCCACAGTTTGTTCTCTATGGCTTGAATTTAGCATAGTATCCCCAGCTCTCATGCAAGCAAACTGGCTACATATGCTATGCTGATAAATCTGTCATGTAGCAGGATTTTACAAGTCATTGCGGGCACAGAATTAAGTATCCTGTTTCTCAGAATTGTGCTCTTTTTACCTTTAACCTGATTTTGGGGAAACAATTGTCTTTAAGCTATTTGGTTAATCTCTCCATGCTGCATTCCACCTGACAGAAAATGTTTTACAAAGTATATACTGGGAACAACTCATGAGCTGTCATAGGGTAAAAATGAAGATTAGATTAATAACCTAGTACTGGGATTTTTAGACCAATCAGGCAGATAATGCATCTTCCCGTGTCTTCCCTAGAACTCTGTAGTTCATCTTCTGGGCCCACCTGCTAGAAGACCTAAAGGGCAAGTCCAGACATGCCAAGACACGTATTCTCCAAATAAAAAAAAAAGTTAATCACTGAGAGAAGCAGAGTTCATTATGAATGGAAAACAAATGATTCACTTTATTTAAATGATAAATGAGCACTTTAGTAGCTCTTTACAGCTTAAGGAAAACACGTTTTAACATTTATCAGAGAAAATCTACTTCTTCTTCATACAGGAAGTTTTGTTTCCCCCCTTGAAGCAAAGGTATTTTGAATGAATGCCAACTAGTTGCATATCCATCCTGTAGCAGCTGTCATTTCCTTAGGGAAGAAAAATCAAGGGGCATAGCTATTTAATTAAGCAATCTGTTAAACAGTTATTTTGGGGGTGGGGACACATCTAAATGCCAAAGTCCAAGTTTATTCAACTGATTATCAAGACTCCCTAAAAATTATTAAAACAACTAGGAAAAAATTGTTTTAGTGCAAATACAGCTTCATAGGAACTGTAACATAAATCACTGTACAGAATGAGCCTGTAATACTCCTTTGGGTTCCCCAGAGCATGTACTGTAAACTGGTGGAGTGGTTTAACTCATATGGGGGGTGTGCAGTGGGCATTCAGAGGTTTTCCTGAGATGGGATTTCATATCCAGCACCTGATTGCAAAAGCTCAATTAGATTGTGTCACATTTGACCTCTTAAAATGTAAAAACTGTCTGTATTAGCATATAACGAGGTACAATAGGTCTTGCAGTGCCATTGAAATACTGCCACCCTTCCAGGATATCTGAGAAATAATGTGATAACAACAGAGTCAAGTGTTCACCTCTGCATAACTCTACTATTATTTCATTAGAGAAGCTTCTATAACAAATCTACAAAAATACATGTAATTTTAATAAAGAGAGTCAATTTTTTTCACTGTTCTTATTCTTAATTTTAATTTTCGAAAGTAAGGCTTAATCAAATGGCTTATTTGTCAGAGTATGAGGGCTTATAACAGTAATCTTCCCTTTCGCATGTACTCTTTTTATAACTGAAATTTGGCAGTCTTACCAAACTTAATGTTGTGCACTCAAGATGGAAAACAATGTATAACTTTTTCCCCCTTAACTATGACCAGCCTTTCTCGTACAACAGTTTTAAAGTAATGTAGTTTTAAGTCTTTATTATCACCCCATTCATTCCTGCTTATAACATTTTAGAACCTGTTTAAAGACCTGATATGAAAGCTACTTATTCTTTGCACCTGAATAACCATAATGTGAAAAGACACTGCATGTACTAAAACAAAAATCTGCTATTAACGTTATTTGAGTGCTTCACATATACACAGTTTCATATTTATTAAAAATAAATTGTGTTTTATTTTGTCCATACCAAGCACTTATTATTAATAATGTAAACTCTTGCTAATAAAATATACAATTCAAACTCTATGGCTAGATGTACATACAGTAATAGTAGATTCTTTAGACACTATGCAAATTCATAAAACTGAAACAAAAAACAAAAAAAGATAAAGACTGTTTCATTCAACATCTGCCTCTAATTACAACAGTATCCTTGACCTTTCAAACTGTAAGTCACTGGTAAAACAAATAATGCATTCCAAAGAAATAAAACAAACACATGCATCACCCCCAAACAGTCTCAGCAGCCATTAACTCCAGTCCTTGTGTCCTTCAATCTGAAAACCTCTCTTTTGTGAAATAATACAGATCTTGCAAAACTCCTGAGGAAATCAGTTCTATTTGCGGTATTTTGTAATCTTTTCTATCCCTTTGTTACTAAGCATGCCTCTTAAAAATGACTAACTTTTCAACTTGCACTGGAATCAAATGAAGATGTTATAGAAAGGCATATACTGTAAAAAAGATAAATAAAACCATTTGCCATATGCCCTAATTATTTCATTAACAATGACATGAATGATCAAACAAAGCAGGAAACATCTTTTTTTATATATCTGCACAACTGAAATGACACAGTCACATAATTTTCTTTATGGTTCCAAATCCATATGAGCAAACACTTTGGTAGTGACCAAGGCCAGTGCAGCTCTCCGGCACCTGCATTAGAATGAATTTCAATCGCCTCACACAGACCATTACTAACCACTTCAACGTGACATATCTCTTTCTAGCACTTTCTAAATTGTGAATTCCCAGAAGAGGTAGTATATTACCACAAAAGAACTCTTTCAATAGTGTTGGAAGAAAGCATAGTTTTTGTTAAGCTTGCTGGGAGGTTAAAATTTAGAACAGTCAGCTTTATGCAGAGTTCTTTTTACCTCAAAGGATTTGTTGCAACTTTGATTCTGCAGCCAACAGTTGTAAGTTAAATCCTTTCCAAATGATCGGTCAGGTTGCGCTAGCTTTTAGTTTCATACAGAGTGTTCCCTCTGGCAGAAAGTGAAAATGAACATCTGCAGTCTCTAAATGGAATTAATGGCAAACTTCTATGTATGCATCTATACAGATGTATGAAGCTATTAAATATATTACCCTAAAAATATATGTTCAGTAAAGAAAACCAAAACACTAAAATTGATTTTACATCACTTAAAATGCCTTTTATATTGTTCTTTTATTTAAGCAAAATACACACAGTACATATTAATATACACATCTAACACAGTTCTGGGCAGAATTCCACAGGTTTTGAAAATCATGAAAAAATAATAATACCAATTAATCAATTTGACAGGTTAAATAAGTGTAAAAACACTTGATCTATATTGCTCATTTGTCAGTTTTTGTAGTTAATTTAGTTTTCATACAATTTACTTCTTGAAGGAATTCAGAGTTTGGGTTTCAATCACTTGGCTTGAAAGTATGTTCCAAGCACCCACAACTCTTTTAGCAAAGAAATGCCCCTTTTCACATCTGAATTTAAGGTACTGCCCTTGATTTATCCAAACTATAGTTCTTTTACTTATTATAAGTATTAGAGTTATATTTGACAATTTGTAGGTCCCACGTAGTGACAGATTAAACATTCTATTTAAAGGACTATGAATAAAAAGGTACAACTTGGGGGCAACTGCGAAAATACCGTCAAATCCCAGTGACTTATAAGATTTAAGATGATGTACATACAGTACACCTAACCACTGCTTAACTGCAACACACCCAATTTAATCCCTGCCTAAGACTTAAGTCAGCTTCAAGGTTTCTGGGATGTGGACAGATGTTGCACCCATGTGTTCTTACAGTATATACTTCAAACCCTATGTGCGCTTAATTTTGAAATAAACTATACTGTAGGTAGCTTCCTGATTTGTCAAGAGACAAATGGTACACAAAAAAATCCATAGATTGTTTCAGGCACTATTGCATAATCGTGTAATTATGTTAAGAACACTAATGTAATTGAATAATGAAAATTTTGCTTTCATATTATTTGCACTTTATTTGGATAGGTGAGCCGACAATGATGGTAGGGATCTGGAACAAACTGCTTTGTCATGTAGCTGAAGCCTACTTCCTAGAAGCCTTCAAGAAACAGATGAATGAATCAATAAGCTACTGAATGAATGAGCAAAATGGACAACATATTTATCTGCTTATTATTGTGTCTTAAAGAGAATGTCTAGCCATAATGGAGGAAATTACAGTCTAAAATCCCTCTAATCAGAGTGATTGTTTATCTATGTGTCATTCAACTGTGTTTTATGCTTATCAGAAATCAAAAGGAAGCACAGTACAGGGTTTAAAATCCAAATGCAGTCCAGAATGGTGATCAGGTATCATGTATCTCCTGTAGTTTGAATGTAGCAATATAACTTAAGCTATTTTCATAATGACCTGAAAAAAAATGTTTTTTAAGTAATGAGTCTATATTCCACATCAATAGCTGACAATGCACTGGGGGAATTATTTCATATTTGATTCCACTTGAGAGGATGTTTGTTGCAACGAAACAAAAGAAGTTCCCTACTGTGGCAAAATTGGAGCTATTATTCAGGTGATCCAATGGCTTTTGAGAACAAGACCATCCAGGGCTTCCCATCACCCACTCTTGCAGCATTGTTTTGACTTTGTCTTGTACTTACCACTTCAGTCAGCACTTCTGTGGTAAAAACCACACAAGATTTCACCCCTGGCTTCTGTATATCCCACATCTATCTTCCTACAAGGTCTTTCACAAAGCTTCAAAAGGTGGGTTCAAAGTAATTCAACCATATGAAAGTAAATAGCTTAATATCTTTACCTCTAAACAGATGACTGATCCCTGGTGCTCCTGAAACACCTTGGTCTGTTCCCCTGTGGTCAGGTCCCATCGTCTCACAGTGTAATCCCTGCTCCCTGTGAACAGAGCCCTGTTGGGGATGTCCAGAGCCATGCACAAGATGGCCCCCTTGTGCCCACGTAACGTCTGGTAGCAGCGTCCACTGGGAACCAGCCAGAGCTTTACTGTGCAGTCAGTGCTGCCTGTAATGAGGAACTCCTTATTCTGTTCACTGTCCAACTCTGGCAGGAAGTCCTGAGAGTAGAAGTGGTCCAGAGCCAGAACACCGTTCCAGTGACCTCGGAATTCCTGCAGCTGCCTCCCAGTGTCCAAACTCCAGCAGCGCGCAGTCCGATCATAGGAACCACTAAACAGACAGCTTCTGGTCACTAAGAGCCTGGCGTAACAACAAAGAGAAAAGAAAAACTGCTTCATTAACCACCACTGCAGGCTTTCCATACACAAGGTTTAGGGGTTACCTTGAAAATGGATCAAACACAAAGTGCTGTATATGTAGGAAATCAGTATGTTTGGCAATAAACAATATTCTCTCAGCAAGATATACTTTTGCAGAAATGCAGAAAAAAATGACATAAACCAAGAAAAATGTCTAAAATATATGATCCATCAAATCACACCATGCATCAGAAAACAATCAATGCAAAATCTTACACATTAAACTGTAAGCCTTGTTCTGGAAAAGTCATACGCTCACATAAAACATGCACAGTTTGAACATTCGTCCTTTTCAAAATTATTTTCTCAATCTTTGCAAAGTTTACCTTTCTCCAATTCATTTTGAAATTGATATCTGAGGTGTTGTACGGTGCACAGAGATATGCATCTCCGTGAAAGAAAGGATTTATTTAATCTCCTTATGGCATTAAGGGATGAACATATTAATGATGTCATTTCAAAAAGTGGAAACAGACCACATTTTACATTCTTAAACCATGAGACATTGTCAGTGTCTAATACAGTAAGTATTGTGGAAGATGGACATTGTCCAGTTGTACAGTCATCACCAAACGTATTGTCACTCTTGATCAAGGTGAGCAAAAAAGGCTGTATAAAATAAACATCATGAGAATTTAGCTATATTTTATGCTCAAAATACTATATTCTGTATTGTAATGCTATTGCTCAAAGAGAAAGGTTTTTGTTAATATGTAATAATTTTCTGAAAAAAGAGGGGTATCACAATTATTGGCACCCCTAAAGATTGTTATAAATAAAATAAAAATACAAATCTGCTTTAACATTCTACTTTTTATGTTCATCGCGGTCTTAAGAAACTCTGTTTCGGCCTTCCACGGCTTCCAGTTTCACCTGGGTATAAAAAATTAAATAACACGCATGTAAAATTCCATTGAAATCTATCATCATAGGGAAAAGCAAAAAATGCACAAATGAAAAGAGACTTGTTGACTTTAATTAATCAGGCAATTGCTACAAATAAAGCTAAATATACCACTTACCACCATTAGGACAACAATTAGTTCAAACCCTCTGGAACAATTGTAAACCTGTGTGGTAGAGTACTCAAGTGTCCAAGGTCAATAGTTGGAGAATTACAGACCTAGATTGCATCTCAGGGTCACCAAGTCTGCAAATCTACACTCAGATGTCACCTCCATACCAATAGGTTATTTGGAAGGGCTGCTATAAAAGAACCTTTATTGAGAACTACCAACAATGTAAGCACCTGGAGCTTGCTAAACAGCACTGGCACTTGGATTAGAACCGGGTTCTTATGGCCATATCACCGACATTGAAAGAAGGACGCATATAATTAAAGAACATCATACCTTCTGTAAAATAGGTTGGAGGATCTTTTGATGTTATAGGGCTGTTTTTATTCCACTGGTCCTAAGGTCATTGCCATTATGAGCTCTACCAAGTACCAGAACATTTTAGTTAAAAACCTGGTTGCCTCTGCCAGGAAGTTTAAAGTTGGCCACAAGTGGACTTTCCAGCAAAAGACACATCAAACTCTACACATCATTAACTGACCACAAAACCAACGTTTTGCTATGGCCATCACAGTCACTTGAGTTGGATCCCATTTAAAAACTGTGGTTTGAATTGAAGAACACTGTCCATATGTGCAGATTATGTATGGATGAATGGTATAAGACCCCCCCCCCCCCGCCAATGTCTTCCCCAATCTCATAAAACATAGGAAAAGACTCAGTGCTGTTATCCTTGCAAGATAATAGTTTGTAACAGATTTTGAAATCTGTTAGGAACACCTTTTGAAACTATTTTGCCAAGCGAGACACTTAATGCCTTCCAAAAGCAATTCATGTGCTCAATGATATGTCCTATTACTCATATTTGATATCAATGGTAAAAGGGATAAACATGTATTCTGTGTCCACAAGAAGTTATCATTAGCAGTTACTATAGCTTGGGAGAAAATAATTTACTACACTCTTTTTCTGCAAAGCTGTAATCACAGTAGTTGCAAGGCTTGGTAAATAGTAAAGTGTTACCACATACTGTGAAAGCCTTTAAAGGTACCTTAGAATTGAGGCACTTATATTGTGTAACAACAAATAAACATAGTTATTGCCATTTAAATATGTTTTGACACACAGTATGATACTGTATCAGTACTTAAATTACACTAACACAATAATACACTAACACAATATTCAAATTTGTCAGAACCACACGCATACACACATGCATCACTTTACTCAGCACCCACTTATTAACAATGGAGGTATGGCCTCTGAAGACAACTGTACAGCAACCTGTCGCCACATCCCACTTTCGAATGGTCTGGTCTGCACTGCATGTATAGGCCACATCGTTTTCAAGGTGACAGTGTGTGATATAGCTCTCATGTCCTGTATGAAATGGAAGGGACAGAAAAAGCAGACCAGCTGTTACACAGTACTACCAAGGCAGTTCTCAACATAGGCAAGATGTTATTCTTTAGGTTTAATTTATACAATAGTGCTATTATCCATTATGAGTAATAGAGGTATTGTGTTCATTTTGTAAAAGCATTCATATATTTACTTCTTAACTGATATGGAAGCTGTAAGGGTGCACTTACTTTTGAGAGACTAATAAATTCCTACAGGAAATATTTACTTCAAGTTATTGTTGCTTAATCACATTATTGAAAAATGTACTTTTTCACACGAGTGTACGTAATGATATTTTTTGTTTAATAAATAATGGGAAAGTATAATTTGTGTGTTAGCTGTCTCATGGGGTTAGATTTATCTATTGTTAAAGGAAGCTATGTTAAAATTGTACAATACGTTAGTAAGACCTCATGTGAACAACCACATACATTCTCAGGCTCAAAGGAATGCCTCTGACAGATTAAAATAAACATTATTTTGATTTTTCTGTATAAGACTAAAAAGAAGGGGACCCTACGGAAGTATATAAATGTATATAGTCACTTGAATGTGAATATCTGTACTGTATATACACTTTGGCTATTAATGTTTTAGAACTTATTGTTCACATTTTGATTTTGAATACATAAAAATCAAGGAATCATGATACATGCTTAACTTTCAAACTAAAAATACTGTATTTCAAGACATACAGTCTTACAGTCATTTGTAGACATACTGTAATTCAAAATAAAATACTGTATTAAACAAGGATCTACATTTTCCAAATCTCTGTTAACCATCCCTAATATGATAATAATTCTAATGATGGTACTTCCAATTTCACTCCCATTATCTTCTCCAAAACTTTACATAGATCAAACATAAGACCTAAACTTGTCCCTTGATTCAATGTGTGCAACAGTATCTCACTTTTCCACTCAGATTGGTGCACAATGGCTACCAATTCAATAGTCATTTAAGTGAGTGCTACACTTCATTGGTGGATTAAGTAGATTTCTATCACTGCATATACATGTACTGTATGTGATGTATTTTGTGATTATTTGATATACAGCAAAATGTGCTAGATACTACACTGTAAAAACAAACAATCGATTTCAAGCTGAATCAAACTATGATCGCAGTGTCCTGACGGTTCTCTTGAAACTTGCTAACTTTATTCTGGTCATTTGTAAAGAAAGGATCATAAACACTTCCCCTTGTCAGTTTCACAAATTGTGAAAGGAAACAATCATTTCAGTTATTGACCTGCTATAGAGCTACTGTCATATGCTCCCAAGGAAAATATTTTCCAAACAGAATAAACAAGCGAATCATTGAAAATTAAAATTTGCATACCCTGGAAGTGCATACAGCTTTTTTGCTCTGAAGTCTTCCACAGCCGAGCTGTTCCGTCTTCGCTGGCAGTGAGCAGGTAGCTTCCATCAGGGCTTAAACTTAGCCAATTAATTCCCCCACAGTGATCTGAACACACTTTTTTCAGGGAAGAAGACCTGGAACTGCCGCTTCCCATCACCGCTTTCTCTGTGCGGATACACATCAACTCCCACCTACCTCCAGGGACATTAAACAACCGAATTGGCGACGTTCATGGTTACTTATTGTTGTCTGCTGCGCTACTTTTTTCTACGAAAAGAACAACAGCAAAAGGATAGAGCGATCTAAAGTATTGACGGATACATTTAAAAGTAAACTTTCCTCGTCGTTGTTGTTAAAATAATAATAGTTGAAACTTTCTCTTATGAAATATTTAATGTTCTACATACTTTGTAAAACCTAAATCTGTTTATGCAAAATTGTTTGTTGGTCTAACGGGTACCACCACCTACGCAGAAGATGAAACAGACCCCCCCAAATCTCTTAAAATATTACTTAACGCCTCCATTGTATAAGAAATTATACTTTCTAAAATGTAAACTATTGAAAAGCGTATTAACGTCTAATTAATGAATATAGTAGTACCTCCTTGTTTCAATTTGTCCCCAACACTTCATTGCATTTAATTTTAATTGAAGACATTTTACCATGCAATTTACTCGGTTGCCACATAAAAAAATGCAAAGGTAGGCTGTATCTTATTTTCAGCAATTGTTGTTTGTCCACGCTCTGCTCCAGACATTTCTAGGAGATGTTTAGTTGCCAGTAAAAGTCGTACGATTTTAAAAGCTTCCTGGTCTAGCCAAGGTACATTCATGCAGAAATGTTACAGAAGTGCGGATATCAACCCACCGAAATGTTCATTTCAGCAATTCTTATTGAGTTCCACAGACATGTTTGGTTGGTCTTCATGAATTTTTTACCTCCGACTGAGATGCATACGACTTGGCTCTCGACTAAGTACTCTATAATGCCCCAGTGGGACTGTTATTAATGGTTAGTCAGAGTGAAGTTGTCAGTCCTCAATACTAGAAAAGTAACTCCTCTTCACCACCACAAGATTTCCTCCAGGTCCTAAAGACAGGCGAATCCCCGGGAGATTTGGTATCTGCGTTTTTTTTAACATCATTGGACATTACAAAATAAATATACAAATCACTTCTCTGATTTTGAATGAAATAAGCGCTTTTAATTAATAATAAAATAAATTAAAAATCTGACATGCATGAACTGCATGAACCGTTGCATGAACTGCATTACAAAATGAAAAAAAAAACATCGAAAACATTATTTTCTCAATTGCATCTGGATCGTACTGTGCACTTGTTTTCGCACGAAAACTATTCACATTACATGTATACTGCACAATGAGATGATTTTATTGATTATGCCTGCATGTTTCAAGTTATTAAAGGATTCTGAATTAAAGGGTTTGCTTTGACATAATTTCAGTGTGTTCCGCAAAATATTCGGAAGGCACATACTTTTAACTTGAATATCTAGAAATACATTGTTAAGTTTATTCGTGAGGTGATCGAAAAAATAGAAATTATCCTGTCAAATGCTTACACTATGTTTAAATGAAGGATTACACAAACGACACAATGGGGTTAACATTAACATGACTAAGTAAAATACTCTTTCCCACCTAGAGTTCTGCTGTTTAAATCGGCACTTGAAGTATTTTAATAAGACGCTCAGTAGGGAGTTATTGTGGTCGCTACAGGTGGCTGTGAACGACGTTTCTCACAATCTAAGCCCCACCAATACAGAAAACAAAACATTTATCAACCCGGTTTCATTTCTACCACGATAGACTAGCATCTAATAATAGTTGTCTCTTATTTTATATTATCCGCAGGCTCCTGCTCACCGCGAACTGTACTGAAATAAGGTGTAAAAATGGATTGGCTGTTGGCTAAAATAGGGTAAAGATATGCTGTTTGGCTCTAGTTTCTATATAATTATAATCGATAGCACTACAACTAGCTTTGTATGAGTTTGAATTATTGTGTTTGGAAGTCGAGAATGTGTTTTCAATAATGTTTTCTAGTTATCTCAGCAGCTAGGGTCAGAAACATTTCAGTACGTTCTGCAAAAAATATTCGGAAGGCACATACTTTATAATAGGGTGTAGCAGTGTGGAGTAGTGGTTAGGGACTCTGTACCAGAGGGCTGTGGGTTCAATTTCTAGGTTGGTTGCCGCTGGTGTAACTTGCAATAAAGTTGCTTCACTTTTACTGCTCCAGGAAAAGCCATACTGTGAACTGTACATTGGCATTTGTTCTCATTGTGGACATATCTGGTTAAACGATTCCATCACCATTTGTAAACCGCAATTTTAGACTATTCTTCATGTATAATAGTTACTGGCATTTAACAGAAAGAAATGTATGATATATTCCCAGTCAAAGAGAGAAAAGCCCCACCAGTGGGGTATGAATAAGAAGGGGAGTAAAGGGGCTTTAGGACCCATGAGATGACATAGCCCCGGGGGTATGTAATGAAACTTCCTGTTCCATTGTCTTAATTAGTGTGATAATAATGGAGATTGAAGACACCTGACAATTTTCACAGTTGTTTTCCAAAACATATAGAATTTACATCCACTGATGTGTTACAGAATGTCCTGTTGGAATATCTTACTCACAAAACCAACCCCACTTATTTAGACAAAAATAAAATCCCAATATTAAGCCCTCTTGTAAACCTATCAGCAAATAAAACAATTATTGCTGTATTTTTTCCGGTTCTCATTCCTCTATTTTTTTTCAATAAATCAGTTTTAAGATAATTAGTCTATGTTAAAAGTTGCAAAGGAAGAAGTTATAGGTTTATTCCATGCTGAAAAGAGAAGAAAGAAAACAACGCTTCGTCCGTGGAGCCTTCTTCAGGTGTGAGAAAGACAGGGCAGCAGGCAGAGGTAATGTAGCGGGAGAACAAAAGCTGGGAGAGAGGAGCGAGAGGCGGGAACAGGGAACAGGGAACAGAAAGAGTGAGTAGCAAACATCAAAATGCATAAAATAAATCCCTATTATGGGTAAATTGTTTTAAATCATTAGGCTAAAACTTAAAGGATATAATGAATTTAAAGTTGCTCTACTTAAACCATTATATAAATTTGATTTACATAATATTGTATATACTATTGTTGTATCATCTATAATAGGGACTAGAAACCATTGTATGTTAAAATAATTCAGTTGGCCAAATATTATAAAGTAGAAAAAGAAGTAAAATCTTTGTAAAATTATTATTTTTTTGCTTAGAATTACTTACTAAAAACACAGACGCAGCTATGTCTTTTTTAACATCCTATCAATGTTTCACACTGACTCATCTTAGCACAGTAAATGCAAAATATTATCCCTTAGTTTAATATTTTGAAAGAAATATGAAAGTAAAAGGAAGTATGCCAAATCATTTAAAAATATTGACTGATAAGCCTTTGCTAACAGGTATTTGAACATCAGATTAGCAGTTACTTAAAGGGTATGAAATGCTTTCCATCTTAATCACAGAATCTGTTTTGCAATGGGGACTAGTTTCTCATAACTTTGTCTGAAGTTTTTCCTGTTGCTCAATCCACTAGAGGCAATTCAACAAATTCCATAGGAAACAGAGGAGTATTGGCTGTATTCAATATCTACCCCCCACAATGCCACTGAAAAGCCTTTCAATAGCTGTCAGCTTTCATCTGACTTTCTTCCAGTTTCCAGGCAGGAGAAAACAAAGATTTCAAAACACCCAGAATTTTCTAGTTTAATAACTATCTCTATCAGGTTTCAAGGCAGTAGATTTTAAACCATGAGGATGCTTAGCAAAAAATCTAATATTTATTTATTTTTTTGCTAATTTAATGCTTAGAGAAGAAATAAATGTTGTGCCATGTTTGTGCTAGAAAAGAAAGCCACTAAATAATAATAGTTATATTATGCAAAGGAACAAGTAATAGGTTTATTACTAGTATAGGTTTATTGCTGCGACCCACTATAGTTATATTATGATTTTCTTGTTTTCTGCTGAATAGTGACTAGTTTATGAAGTGTTTTTTTTTTTCATGTAAAATATGATCAACCATTTTCATTGGGAAGCTTATGGGTCTCTGAGTGATGCAGTGGATTCAGTGACTCTCATTCATCATGGAATTCTGTTTGTGTGTTTTGATCACGTCATTACACATCATAAACATGGTAATATTGTATAATTTATACAGTATATCTGTTTTCTAATCACTTTATCCAGTACAGAGTCACAGGGGAGCCAGCAAACAATGGACACAAGGTGGGACACACCCTGGACAGAACACCAGTCCGTCACCGGCAGACCAACATAGACACACACACACTCACACCAGGGCCAATTTTCCCAGAATCCAGTTAGCCTCCCAGTATGTCTTTGGACTGTGGGAGGAAACTGGAGCATCCAGAGAAAACCCACATTAACATAGGGAGGACAAACTAACTCCACACAAGGAGCACCCCAGGAATTGAGCATAGGGCCTCAGCTCTGCGAGAGAGCAATGATCTCCCACCATGGGAGTAAACCAGACCACCCTGAGGAAATGCTTTTAAGCTATTCAATATTGGATATATCTGCAAAATTAAATTTTGGCTAGTTTGACATAAATCCAAAGTTTGTTTTGTGCTTTAAATCCTTTCACTATGCTCCTCCAATCCACTCCGGTTTCATGCAAACTGTCCTGCTGAAAGATAGTTTTGTTTCTATAATAAAGATGCATCCCAACTGCTAGCTCAGAATTTTGAAAAATATAAAATTCTATCTTGTCTTATGTCAAATAAATGTTTCTTGAGCCCGAGATTTTTTAATTGTTTTCCATGAAAAAATGACTCCACCAGGTTTTGATAAATGTTTTTTTTTGTGTGTATTTTATTTTATAGCTTCACTAGGCAGAGGTAAAAGTGATACAGTCTGACTCATCACAGGATTTAAAAGTAGTTGACCACCCGTCTGATGGACTGGATGTTAGCGCTGTGTCCCTGCCACTCATTGTGAGTGCGGAAATCTCCTCTCTCCACGATGTACATGCGCCCACGGTAGTTTGGCTCTTCATACATTACCCAGCTGAGGATAGAGAGACAGAGAAAATCTAAGTTTAGAGACATGCCGTTTATTACACATCAAAGGTTATAAAGGAGAAAAGCGTGTGCAATGTTCAAGTTTGAGTACCCAATATCTAGTGGCTGAAAAGCAAGAGCATTTGGAGCACTGCATACTCTAAAAAGTGCTTCCTTCTCTTTTTCCTGCAGTGAAAAGTGTGGAAGCTGGCTTTATTTTAAAACAACCAGTGTTCCTTTTTTTCATATTGGGAAAATAGTTGATTTCAGTATTTCCTTTTAGTGAGGCAGAGCATTGCTCTAAAACTGTAGCTTGTGCAAAAAGCAATCTGGCTTTTGTCTAGGACATAACCATCAATTCCATTTGTATTGTACTCCATTAGCACATTTCTTTGTTTTTTTATTTTTGGTCACAAATGTAACCTCCAATAGACAGTTATAGTTTTACTAACTAAGCAAAAGTGATACATTTTCTAACAACATGGAAACATTTTCCTGCCAAAAAAGAGTTATCATATAATAAACTGCCCGTTTTAATTAAAAGAACCCAGAAAAACAAGGTGAAAATAGTTAAAGTATTCTACTACAAGTAACAAAAGTTTTTTTTAAATAGTAAAATAATAGACAGCAAAACTCCTATAACTTACACTGACAATCATGTTTTACAGAATGTCTAACAGAATCATCTCAAAAGCAGGTGATGATTCTAGATGATATATTTCATTTTTCTTAAACAAAAATCAACAATTTAATCAGCAAATTCAGTTTACTCACACTCAAAAGTAACTACTAAAATTTAATTCAAGAAAGAAGAAAAGCACGAATCATTCTTTACAAACCATTATGTTTACTGTAAAGGCACTGATGTTATTAAAAAGCTGTCTGTAGCTGAGGTAGACGGATCTGTAAATGTACAGTAACACTTGTAAAAATATCTTGGTAAAACTTAAATTTTGAGTTTGATCAAGTGTATTCCTCTTCCCTTATATAGGCAATATAAGAATGAAAATCAGCATTAAACAAGAAATGCACAATGTGAGAAGAATTGTCAAATCCTTTAACAACACACAATATACTCCTACATCTTACGAATTATTTCTTTCATCCAGATAAAGGCTTAATAAGTTGACTTTATATATACACATTCAAATAAAACAGGAGAAGGGTGTATTTCTGTCATAACCTTAAGTAATGAATGGGGGGTTTGTCAGGTTTGACTAGTGAGATTAATTTGAATCTCATTTTGAATCTCACATTGTCCTTCTAAACGACATTAATTTAAATCACCTACAGTAGGTGTTCCAGAAAAAGTAAACGTATGCACATTTACATGATAAATATGATATCTAAGGCAATTCCAACACAGTGCTTCAAGCCCTGGCTACACACCTTACATGAACATGAGATTTAGAATTTATTAATGCTTAGACCAAAGGCTTTCTATTAGCAAGCATCACAAAGAGTAATTCATTCCAAGATAACAGCATTATCAAGCAAAAATGCCTAGGGGAATCAAGTATTAGAGTCTTCAACAGACTGGTATTCTACTAAACTGGTCAATTGTTTCAAAAATTTCTTAGCACATTTTTTTGGATGGCACAATATATTGAAAACAGCAATCAATATAATTAATGGCTGCACTGTATATACCCATTGATATTTTTTTAATTGCAGATAAATAGTATATTTTGCTGTGAGATAACTGAAAAGATAATGTCACTGTCAGTCATGCAGAGGATTTCTGCACATGTTCATGATGCCCATCACTAAAGACTCCTGACAGGTTTTTATCTCCATGACCAATCTCCCTTATTTTGCAGCAACAGATGTTAGACAAGGACTACTCTTGCTTGAAAGATACTTGTTTGGTGTGGTGCAGCATCTCAAAAGTAATGTAAAATCTTTCACCATATTGTTGGTGATGATCACAAAGAATCACAGTACTACCAGGGTCAAATTCAAGCTTAATATAATTTCAGTACCATAAATTGAGCTCTATATGTGCAAATTCTACACACCAATTGAATGTCCTACTACAGTATATGCACATGCTGATAATTAGGTGCACATAGCTTTGAGGTTAACCACGGGAAAGACAGTCAGTTTGGAAAGCAGTCAGAGAATTCTACATCAGTAGAGTGGGGAAGGGCAGTTGGAATCCATAGTGCAGGACTGTTGGTATCTGAGGTCAGAAAAGTTATTTGCTACCACATGGATTTTACAATACCATTCCATATGGATGTTACCAATAGTCAGGAAGAACTGCTCCACTGACACTAGCTTTCACTCCACTATTAATATGAGACCTTTCCCGTTAATATGGTGCTCGAGTAACATTAGTACTATACTGATGTTTTAACTGTGATTGCAAGACCACAGATCCATATTTTTATATTCTTATAAAATGGACATATCAACGGCACACCTCTGTACCAGTCCGCACAAGCCAGCGTGGGATGGTGACATCTCCCTTGGGATCAGCACGGATGTCTACTGACATACCACCCACCATCACAGGTTTGTTTATGTAAAGCATCCAGGGAGTGTAAAAGAAGAACCTTGGCTGACAGCAAGATACAGATGCCATTTCTAAAGTTGCTCTGCTAAGAATTCCCATTCAATCAATTTCCACATTCAGGTTCGTCCATTTCATGTCCTATCACCCCATATGTCTTTTTTTGTGTTGAAATCCTCCTCATCCTATCCTTAAGCAAGGCTGATATTCCATTCACTGCCAGGCACATACAGTACAGGGTCCATGCATGTTGTACTGTACATCAGTATATACAAATAAACCTGAGACAAGATATTAGAATACAAGAACGCTTCAGAATAAGCAAACCTAGTGCCCAATAACGAGAGACTGTACCTGTGAAAAAGCGTGGCTTTGCATGGCATGTATATCTTCCATGTAAAGCCAATCCAATGAGTGAGATGTGACTGAAGTATAGGAGCAAAGTTCTAATCATGCTTTTGACTAGCATGCTTTTGCAGCAGCAGTTCAATGTGTAAAGAGAGGTGTAGACACTTACGCTCCATCCCCGTAAACCTTAATGGCATTGACACAGTTCTTGTTCCAGCCACGGCCCTGCAGGAATGGGCAGTCGTCGCAGAACTCCATGCACTGCCCGGTGAAGTTACAGCCCTCGAACAGCTCGATTCTGTAGTGCTCCCCGTGCTAATGGACAACAAAACCCAACATTAAACAGCAAATACAGCCATTGACCGAGAGGGAGCAATGTATCCTGTATGTTATTACCTCTTCACTGATAAAAGATAAAGATTAAATATTTCTAAAAAAGTGTCTGAAAAGGTCTTGAGAAATTGAATAGGAGGGAATGACATGAGATGTGTGTCACAGCAGTATGATTTCCTCGGCACATTTTACAGCACCTAGCTTTTAAAAATAATTATGTGGGGAAAAGCTTTTTTCTTTATTTATCGTTGTGCTTAGTAAACAGTATTGTATTCAAATCAGTGCAAGCAACAATGAGTCAAAAACTAAACTTTAATAGTAGAGGCTGTATAGGTGCTTTTAAAAGTAAGTGCTTTTATCTGTAGTTTACATAGTATTTTTTATTGAAAAATGTTTAAGAAACAGATACAAATTCCAGTTCATTCCCTCATATTTAGTATGATCAGTATACTGAATCATATTGAATATACTGTAACCTATGCCTTTTAGTTAGTTCATTTGTGTACAGTATGTGAAAATGATGTTCATTATTAGCTATTCATAACAATAGTAACTAACTCATAAATAGGCTTTGTAACTCATTTGCAGCAAAATCCCATAGATATTGGGATGAAATCCTCAGATCGGTCGGTTACAGTAGCTACATTAAACCTGATGAAACGGAAGGGTTGAATGGCCTCCCCTTGTCTTTAACCTCCCTCATGTTTCTATGGGTCCTTACCATCCTCACAGGCCTGCAAGAGCCCATGTGGTCATTGTGAGAATTCCAGCGCTGAAATTCTGGGTACTCTCCACGTTCCAGGATATATTGCTGTCCTCGGAAATCTGGGTGGTCATAGCAGATCCAGGCCCCACTCTCCACACGGACAGAGTTCACCCGGTTCATGAATCCCCGGTCCTGGAAGTTGTCACAGTCTCCATAGACTTCCAGCTTCCGACCAGTGAAGCATTTGCCTTCGTAAAATACTATCTAGAGAGGGGACAGCACCGCAGAAGAGAGAGCAATGAGGGAAAGAGAATGACCAAAAGTATATAAAATGAGTTATTTCTAATAAATCATAACATTTTATCATTCCATTCATTTTCTAAACTACTGTAGTTTATCCAGTACAGGGTGGTAGGGGGAGCCTGGGTGCCCAATAGCATTTAAATAGTACTTATACAGTATATGGTGAAATCATTCATATCTTGCATTGTATGAAAATATTAAATTTTAACATCTATAGAAGATCAAAGACTTAAAAGTACAATATTAATGAATGTGAGTTGTTTAAATCATGTGTAATGTTTTCCTTTTTTATTATTGAAGTTGATTAGCCAAATATTAATAAAAAATATTATGAAGGATCAAGGAACAGTGCTTTTATGTCTGAAACAATTACAGCTGTTTAACATATTACGTGGATGTAGTTAGTAGAGAGGAAAATTTTAAAAAAAAAATTTAATTTAACTTGGACTTTGTCTTGATTATAAAGCATTTTTTTACAGGAAAGCAGTTCTCAACACAGTTGAATATATATAATTACATCTATAATACTCATGTAAGAGCAACAGCTGTAGAAGAGTTAATTAGCCACTTAAAGCTAACTTTGGTATATCATAAATGTGGTTTTCTGATTTAGTATTACTTTTCCCTCTATTCTGTATTTTCATGTAGTTTTAACTTTAGGGATTTTAGTTTCGGAACAACCTTTACAAAGCTGCATGCCTTCTCCCATTATTGTACAGCCGCCAAATATTAAAGGCAGAAATATCCAGCCAGTATCTTTGCATCAGGCCAGACAAACTCAAGCTGAATCCAAAGTGCAGGTTTAAATCGATCTTTGCCTTGGCACCATGGTCAGCTCAGTCCTGCTTAGCTGAGGTCTTGGCTGCCATTTAAGCATGTTGTATATGTTTGTATTCTGTTTTATAATTCAATAAAAAATGCATTTAAGCTTGATCTGAAACAATTATCATCATTACTTTGGCCATGTAAAAGGCTTCTCACTACTATTAAAATCACTGCCAATTAATTTCACCTGTTGACTGCGCTTTGCACAAGAAGAAAGGAAAACAATAGTTTGTTAGTTCATTTGTGTACAGCCATTCTTAGGTGCAAATATAGTAAATGTTTTCTTTTGCACCTTACAGTGTTTGTATTTTGATATTGATTTATACTGTTACTGTTCATAATATGTAGTTTTACTTAATGCTTAAGATCTGTTCTAACATCCCAGACCACCAAATACATGTAACTTTTTAAATGTGCAAAAGCTAAAAAAATAAGATCTCAATGCTAAAAAAGGTCATAATGGGCTAACTTATGAATAAGGCAAGGGTTATGCATTTATCTGAACATTTTTTTAAGTATTCCATAATGAAAAAAATGCAATTAAAGATCCACAGACCCTGTGATGAATGTAATATTATTCCGCTATGAATGCAATTGTGACTTTGCCTTTAGAGTTCCTCAGGTTCTTTGAACAAGCCATAGTGGTCACGCAAAAGCACTGTAATCTCTGGCAGTTGGTGAGGTATTTTGTTTATCCAAGGAATTTATAGGTAACAGGGATGATAGACTTAATGCAAGAATGCTGTTTGAGCAAAAACCCCAGGTACTTACCTTTCCAGAGTACTGAGACATGTTGCACTGGATGCTGTCCAAACTAACCCAGAAGTGAGAAAGTGTGACAGTGAAAAAGTTGGACACCCCAATATATATGGCTGTGGGAACGGGCAGCAGTATCGCGAGGTTAATTCAACAAAGGGACCACAATGGAGAGCTTAAAGGTTTTGCTTCACAGACAGTTTCTCTTACAGCTGGCACTGCTGATTCTGGGGTTTGGATTTAGTGCAGACAACCTGACAAAAGATTTGCTTGGAAGGGATTTCACATGCTAGTTTTGCACATGTGAGTCTTTTTTCTTTCTCCTGTGCTCTTTTTAGTCTAGTGCCACATGCACATCATGACAGACGCAGTGGGCAAAAACAGGCAATGCTGGCATCTTAGTGTTAGAATTTGCAGCTTTAAAGGCCCTTACAGAAAACATCTGCTGTGCTGAACTAATTTTCACTACTACCTGCTGTCGAAATACAGTACTATCAGTCTCTGCCCTGTTCTCTTCTGTTTGCGTTAAAGACAAGCTTTTCTTTGTTCTTCAAGCCCAGCAGCTACAGGATGTGATGTTTAGGGACTGACCTCTAGGTTCCTTCACAGAGACGACTGCTTTTCATGGTAATATCTTGTGTTCAGCTGGAACATTTCTTAGGATACTTGAAGCATTTTGAACTATTCAGAATATTTTAATAGCTTTGTTCTGAGAAAATTATGTACAGTACACTGATTAACTTCTCTGGCCTAATTTGGCTCAACTTTCCTATGGAAACATTTTGGGGAGTTTTACAAAGGTTAGTTTCATTGTGTCATAAAGATTGATAGAATAATCCTCCAACTTCAAACAACATTATCAGGGAATTTTATTCCATTACTTGGTTATCATCTGTATTACTTTATGTGTTGTGAGTTGTATCTCAGAACATTGCTACAGCAACCAAAAAAATGAAAGTGTATTTTCACAAGATACTTACAGTACCTACACTACGTTGCTGTTGAAATATAAAAATTTAAAACACTACAAAAGTAGATATGATTGGTAAATACAATTTGTGTGCAATGGTGAAAAAAGCAGCGTAAGGAGTATTTAAATCATTTGAAAATATGAATGATGATTATTGATAATATTATTACTTATTCATCCATCTATTTTCTAACCATTTAATCCAATATATTTTAATTTTAATATAATTATAATTTTAAATAGAGGCTTCTCTGTCCATCAAGAGGCACAGAGCATGGAGCTTGGAGGATTTAACATGGCACTTATGGTGTTGCACAAGTTAGTCTTACCTTGATCTTTGTGGTTTAACCTTGTTGATTGAGCAATGGTAGGCCTCTTTTTGAAGCTGCTATGAGCTACATTCCTGGGAGAAACAGTAGTGTATTACTTTCAGTGACTGTTCTTCTCCTTTGTAAATATTTTATTCTTTCCCAAAAGCACTGTCACAAAACAGGTACGTTTTGCACTATTTTTTGTACCAGAAAGTTCGGTCATATTTAGTCACATACAGGATTTTTTTATTTTTTCCGGTTTTTAGTTTCAGACAGTTGTATCAAATAGTATAGTTTAGCAGTATTTCCAAGGATAGGAAAACATTATGGACAGCTAAAATACTTATACTGTTGTCCAGCACTTTGTAAACAAAGTCACAAAAAGACAAAAACACAGACACACAGAAATATAGATTCTCTATTGGTCTGTCCTTCTCTGCTCCCTACAGTATGTATAACCTTTTTTGCTTTAACTTAACACTATGGTGTTTAGTATGAAGTCCACTTTTTTGCTCAACTGCTGCTTCTCTGTCAAGACCTTGTGTAAAGATGTCAATTTGTTGTGAAACACGAACTAAAGCATGGTTCAGCAGCCATCACATCTGTGGTAGATAAGTCACAACGTCAGATTATTTTGTCTAAATCTTTTGAGGTGTATTTGTTGTGCATTCTCAGTTTCTCCATTTCTAGTGTTGGCTCACCAGTATGCAGCTGCTTTCTAAGTGTGGAGAACATGAATACAGAACAGATACACAAAGCTTAGCTCCAGTATGTCTGGTATGCACAAACCAAGATATGTGACACTAGGCATTGGGGTTCTGTGTCTGTTTTCCTTGGTGCTGTACCATCTGCCTAGTTTGCCATTGTTGCACTCATATTACACCCTGCTGTGCCCACTGCCGAACTCCCTCCATAGAAGAGCAGTCTCTGAGCTCTGGCACAGGTCCCCCTAGTTTCCTGTTGATACCCTGTGTTTTTGCAACAGACTATTCAACTTCTGAATGCTTATACAAGCTTATATGGTAAATACTTCTAAAAGTAGCTCCTAAATTAGGAACTTGTGTGTTATACAAAAAACATTACATATTTACAATATACAGTGAGTTTTAACAATACCGTTTAGATTGAATAATGAGCTTGGGCACTAGACAGGATAAACCCCATAAGTAATGCCAGTCCACCAACTTCTCCCTTTGGGTTAATGGTTGCCTCATAGATGACTTGTTTTACAGCCCATGGAGGACTTGTGTCCTCTTCCTGGCAGGATGGCCACTACACCAATAGCTTTAAAAGTCTTGATAGATTCAACTTTTTGTGGATTATTTTATAGCCATCACCCAGATTGTGGAGGTCTATGACTACTTGCCTACAACCTTTTAAAATCTCTCTGACCTGAGCCATGGTGATGCATGTTATTGCTGATTGGCTTTCATGGATTACCTCCTTTGGAACCTTCGGGTCTTGGGAAATCTTCAGTTCCCTTTTGTGTTGTTTCAGAGGCTTTAATTGGACTTGGAATGTTACAGCAGATTTGTTTTTATTGAATTTTGTTTAAAGTACTACTTAGATGGGTGAATAGATATGACTCTCTTGTTTAATTATAATAATAATAATAATAATAATAATTGCTTACACTTATATAGCGCTTTTCTGGACACTCCACTCAAAGCGCTTTACAGGTAACAGGGACTCCCCTCCACCACCACCAATGTGCAGCATCCACCTGGATCCAGCAACGGCAGCCATAGTGCGCCAGAACGCTCACCACACATCAACTATTAGTGGGGAGGAGAGCAGAGTAAAGTAGCCAATTCATAGAGGGGGATTATTTGGAGGCCATGATTGATAAAGGCCGATGGGAAATTTGGCCAGGACGCCGGGATACACCCCTGCTCTTTTCGAGAAACACCCTGGGATTTTTAATGACCACAGAGAGTCAGGACCTCGGTTTTACGTCTCATCCGAAGGACGGCGCCTGTTTACAGTATAGTGTCCCTGTCACTACACTGGGGTGTTGTTTACTGGAATTCAATTCATTATTAATGACAGACTGATTGCTCTGTAGTAATGCTATAATACAGTGCAAACGTTTTTTAGAATTTTTTTAAGCGAGGCACATTTTCCACTTTGAAACTAATTCCGCTTTTTGATATTTCTGTTCCTATTTCATTGGGTATATGAAGAAAGCTGTAGGTCACTGTATGAGGAGGCACAGAGAACTGCACATCAGGCAGGAGAAACTTTTAAACAAAGGTATTTCTAGGTTTCTAAGAATCCAGTTTATCTTAGCACTAAATATCACTAATTAGCATTAGGATATCATTCAGATCCATTTAGTTGCTCAACAGTAATCATATCCTCAGTCTTTCTTGTCCCTTTCAAAGTACTGTATCACACATAGTGCCATCTTAATTCTTTTTTTCTAATACACCGTGTTAGTTAATAAAGATTTTTAAATGTTATGACAAACCATTATCTAATGAATAAGATAACAAACATAAACTGGATTCAACAAATAAGATGAGAGCTGTATCATACCAAATATTCCTTTGACTAAAACACAACACAGCTGCAAGCTGAACACCATCTGTGGAACCACCATGATGTGAAAGGCAGCCTATTCACGTTTAAGGCATAATTGTAATTCAAATAGATTCTCTAACGTATTTTAAACAACAATCAATGTCCGGATAGAGAACAAGGCAAAACAATTTAATCACTTCATAAAAAAACATGAGAAATGAATAATCTGTTGCTGAATTATTTAGGACTTTATCTCTCAATCAATTAACAGAAGAAGTGCAAAATCACTAACCTTTTATGACTAGTGCAGAATATTCTAAATTTCCAATGTCTAAATCAACAAAAGTACTTCTCACACAGAATTTAAAGATATTGTGACAGTGCAGCTCGTTTAAAAATAATGCATTTTTCATTATTTGTAATTCCCAAATGATTTTTCTTTGCTCTTCTAAGAAGGCTGGCAAATAGTAATCTGAGTAAATTAGAAACACACTTCAAGCCCCACAGACTTTGGGCTCCGAAACACAACAGCACAGTTTGCTTCATTTATTTCCAAATCAGGGCACACATTAAGGTGAAAACTAAATTATGTTACATTGAATGATTCATATTCTCATTATTTGTTTATAAAGCCAGAGAAGCCCATAATAACATATACTTACCCCAGTGAGGCAATTGCAAGGATCAAAGAATATGCTAATATTGCATATGAGGAGAAAAAGACAAAAACATTTTGGTTAAGAAAAGGACATTTTCAAGTGAAAACTGTTACTCTAAAATTCCAGATGGGGACTAAAATTTAGAGTGCCTCACTGTGTCCCTGGACTATGGATTTTTTTTTATCCAAAAAGGAAATATTTATCTCTGCCATGCTTATATAAACCCCAAGGCTTAATACTGCATGTGAGAAAGTCTAACCACCTGGAACCTCTTCCACAGAGCACTGTCAGTCAAACCCACATGTCCCCTTCACACAACTCTGGCTTTCTGGGAAACACGTCATCGCACTGCCTGTTAAGACAATTTAACATTTGGCAGACATCAAGTAATCACATCACGCTAGGGTTCAAAACCAACCACCTGAATAATGTCTGAATTGTGAAGAGAAAAGCTTTTTTTCTTCTTGTAAAAAATCTTTAGAAAGGTACATGTGAATGTCAGCAAATCACCTTATGATCTTACAGGGCTTATCTGCATTTTGCCTTAAGTTTGAGGAATGGCTATATAACTGTTTTAGTCAAGAAAAGTAAAATTATTATTTCTATTTTGTTAGATAAAAATACAATATTTTTAAAATACAATAAATA